AAATCTACGCAGAATTCTGAGTGTTTCTTTGCTACGGACCTGGGTTAAGGGTAGGGGTGTATCCTGGAGGAGGGAGGGAGGAAGGGGGGAGGTGGTACAGCAGGGTGGGCACTTGCCTAGCACACAGCAGACCCGGGTTGGATCCCCAACACCACAAATGGTCACCAGGAATAATCGTTGAACACAGAGTCGGGAGTAAGCCCTGAGCACTGATGGGGTGCCAGGGACCCAACAAGGTCAGCCGTGTGCCAGGCAAGCTGCTTCCTTGCTACTCTATCTCTCTGGTCCCCATGGTAGTGATTTTTTTTTTAGGGCACATGTGAGTGGGTATTTGGGATCCAGCTGTGGTATTCGGGGATTCCTACCATCTCTGTTTGAGGGGCCCCCACGGTGCTGGGGGTTGATCTGGCCTGACTACATGCAAGATAAGTAAGTACCTTACCTCCCGTACTATCTCTCCAGCTACTGCTTGTCTTGTTTTGGGGTCACATCCAACAGTGCTTGGGGCTTACTCCTAGCTCTGCACTCAGGATCGCGCCTGGAGGGGCTGGGTTGGGGGTTGGCCCTGTGGGGTTCTGGTCAGCCACATGCAGGACAAGCTCCCTTCCTGCTGGACTGCCTCACTCTCGCCTCATCAGCCTCTATTCAGTGGGCTGACCAGAGTGGCGTGGGGAGCTCAGTGGTCAGGGTCACCAAGGAGGCAGAGAGAAAGGGGCGGGACTGAAGTGATAGGACAGTGGGGAGGAGTAAGCCCCGTCCCCTTGTCTTGCACATGGGTGACCAGGATTCGAAATCTGGTACTCCATGGCGTTCTCCGAGCCCTCCAGGAGTGATCCCTGAGCACGAAGCTGAGAGTCCTGAGCACAACCAGGTGTGGCCAAAAAGAGAGGGGACAGGTTGAGGAATGGAGCAGAAAACAGACCTTAGTGAACAGAGGCAGATGGCATCTGACAGCTGCAGGGACCCCCCCCCCCCAGAGGTACACTGGGTTCTTAGGGTCTAAGGCCCCCCCAGCACCACCCCCTTTCCCCCACCCCAACTGTTATTTACCCAGAATCTCTGGACAACCCGCCCTTTGGCCTTTGCTGTCCAGAGTTGGGCAACCCCTGCAAACAGCCACCCGGCCTTGGGGCTGTGTGTGAGGGGAGGGGTGGGGGGGTCAGGGGCCTCCCTCCCGGCTCTGCTCTCTGCCCGCCTCGCTCTGGCATCTGAGATCCAGGGGTGCAAGTGGCTGGCTTGCTGGTTGTGGCAGGAGCCTTGGATAAGGGAGGGGGGGGAAGCCCTCTGCCTCAGTTTCCCCACCCGTAAGATAAGAATGATAAAGATGCCCAATTCCCTGGGCCACTGGGAGTTGACCCAACAGGTGAACTGGTGCAAACCCTGCTGGTGCCCAACTGCACTGGAGAAATGTGGAGGAAATCAGTGAAGGGGGCCAGAGAGAGAGTCCAGTGGGCAGAGCGCTTGCCTGGTACATGGGTGACCTAGGTTTGATCTCTGCCATCCCGTAGGGTCCCTGGAGCCTGTTAGGAGTGATCCCTGAGCCCTGCCAGGTGTGGCCCCCAAACAACAAGTTAATTAGTGAAATTAACTACTACTGACCTTGAGCAGGAGCACCTGGCCCTATGCCTGGGCCATCACACTCTCGAATGTTCCCTTGCCCTGGGGCCCTCCCTCCTTCTGTTCTTCATCCTGGTCCAGAGATATGGCGCAGGAACCGGGGAGACAGTCCAGCGGCCTGACTCTGGGTGGAGCCTCTTTCTGCTCACTCGTGTTTATTTGGGGGCTTCCCCAGGGGTGCTTGGGAGCCGGTCCTGGGGATTCCCAGCTGACTAAAGGCTCCTCATGAGGGCTGAGGATGGGGCGCTATTCCAGCCTACGTTCTGGGGGTTACCTGGGACCCTCCTGGAAGTGAGTACTCGGGGGCTCTCCAGGACGGCATCTGGCGAAGCTTGGAGGACCTTGTGGTGCTGGGAATCAGATTCGGGCCTTCCAAATGTGAAGCCTGGGGGCTGGAGCAATAGCACATCGGGTAGGGCGTTTGCCTTGCACGTGGCAGACCCAGGTTCGATTCCCAGCATCCCATATGGTCCCCCGAGCACCGCCAGGAGAGATTCCTGAGTTCATGAACCAGGAGTAACTCCTGTGTTTCGCTGGGTGTGACCCAAAAAAGAAAAAAAAAAAGTGAAGCCTGTGTCCAGGCTCGGAGCTTTTCCTCTGGGTTGCCTTCAGACCTCTTTGAGGGCCACACATCAGGAATACCAGGGGAGGGCATTTGCCTTGCACACAGCTGACCCAGGTTCGATCCCTGGCATCCCAGATGGTCCCTGAGCACTGCCAGGAGTGATTCCCGAGTGCAGAGCCAGGAGTTACCCTGAGCATCACTGGGTGACCCAAAAAGTCAAAAGAAAAAGAAAAATCAGGAATATCACACACTCAGTTGGGGTGGCACCACCCCAGCCCTCTGCTCTAAGGAATATTTTTTTCCCTCCTTTTTGGGTCACACCCAGCGATGCTCAGGGGTTCCTCCTGGCTCTCCTCTCAGGAATCACTCCTGGCGGTGCCTCCTGGCTCTCCTCTCAGGAATCACTCCTGGCGGTGCTCTGAGGCCCCTATGGTATGCCAGGGATTAAATCTGGGTCAGCCACATGCAAGGCAAACGCCCTCTCCGCTGTACTATTGCTTTGGGCCCCTGATTACTTTTTTCTTTGACTCTGTTTTTTTGACTGGCTGGGGGGTCACATCTGGAGGTAACACCCAGCTCAGTGCTCAGGAGTTGCTCTCAGCTGTGTCCGTAACACTAGGTGGAGAGGTCGTGTCCCGCGTGTGGAGCTCAGGCTTGTGCTGGGAGGATGCATGTGGGGTACAGAGTTGGGCGACAACCTACAGAAAATCCTTGGCCTGACCTTTCCTGTAGAGTTACTCAGGTTAGGGCCAGGGTCATGGCATCAGATTAATCACACAAAAGTCTCAGAACACCTGGTTCATTTTTAGGATAATTCCCAAACATTGCATAAGCCATGCAAAACAAAACAAAACAAAACGGAATTGTTAACTTGACATTGAAATTGAACTTCATTTTCTTGGTCGTAAGTTGACACCCAGAAGTTCAGCGCAGAGGAGGCGCACAGGCGCCTGTGCTTTGTCTCGCATTGAGCAGAACTTCCTGTGGGCACCTTTAGAGAACGCTGGCAACCTGGGGCTAAAGACCTTCGTCATTTTATACTGAGGCCAGAGAAAGAAATACGTTTGCCTATGATGCAGGGTGAAGGTGTGTCTATCTCTATAACCCTGTGGCTCAGGGGTTCAAGAGATGAAAATATTAGGGGCCAGAGCAATGGTACAATGGGAACGGTGCTGGCCTTGCACATGGTCGACCTGGGTTCAATCCCTGGCAACCCCTAGGGTCCCCCGAGCTCTGCCAAGAGTGATTCATGAGTGCACAGCCAGGAGTCAACCCTGAGCACAGCTGCGTGTGGCCTCAATCTAAAATAAAAAAAAAAAAAAGAGAGAGATGAAAAAATCACTCATGAAGCAGGCCAAAGAGAAGGGAGAGAGAGAGAGAGAGAGAGAGAGAGCAAGAGAGAGCTCAGTGAGCTAGAACATGTGCTTTGCATTGCAGGAGGTCTGGATTTCATATCTGGCACCACGTATGATCCCTGAGCACTGCCAGAAGTGACTCCTGAGTACTGTTGGGTATACTAGCCCCTACACACAAAAAATTAAAAATTTAAAAAAGCTGATCAGCAATAGCACAGCAGGTAGGGCATTAGCCTTGAACGCGGCCGGCCCAGATTCGATTTTCAGCATCCCATACGGTCCCCCAAGCACTGCCAGGAGTAATTCCTGAGTGTAGAGCCAGGAGTAACCCCTGTGCATTGCCGGGTGTGACTCAAAAAGAAAAAAAAAAAAGCTGATCAGGCTGAGAGCACGTGGGAGGCCCAAGTTTGATCCCCAGCACTGAAGGATCCCCAGAGAACCATGAGGGGTGATTAATAACCGGAGAAGCATGCAGTAGGTTAGGGACTTCCTTGAATGGAGCTGACTGCAATTCAATCCCTGACAACATATGTAGCCCACTGAGCACTGACAGGGATCAATCCTGGCACAAAGCCCCTGAATGACATAGGTTGTGACCCCAACCCATCCCCCATAATTCAGAAACATTATTTCAGCTCTGTTAACGCCACATCGAAACGCTCCATATTAAGAACTTTCTATTAAGAACTTTCTTGGGGGACCAGAGCAATAGTACAGGTGGGAGGGTGCTTATTTTGCACCTGACTGACCCTAGTGGGATTCCCTGAACCCCCACCAGGAATAACTCCTGAGTGCAGATCCAGGAGGGAGCCCTGAGCACTCCTGGTGTGGCCCATGAACAAACAAAACAAAACCAAATTAAAAAAAAAAATCCTTGATTCTGGGGCTGGAGCGATAGCACAGCGGGTAGGGCATTTTGTCTTGCACACGGCCGACCCGGGTTTGATTCCCACCATCCCAGATGGTCCCCCGAGCACCGCCAGGAGTAATTCCTGAGTGCACAGCCAGTCATATCCCCTGTACATCACCAGGTGTGAGCCCAAAAGAGAAAAAAAAATTCTCGGTTCTTATTCTGCAGCATGGTCCATTTCGCAGAGGTAGAAATTGAGGCCTGAGTCACGTGAGGTGAAGGCAAAATCAGAAGCACAGGCCAGGAATCTCTTTTCATTTCTTTCTTTTGGAGGGAGTTGGAGCCACAGTCAGCAGCCTGGGGTAGTGGGGTTGGGGGGGGGGGAGGCCATATTCCTGTCTCTGCAGTGCTAGAGAGACTCTGTGGTGGTGGCCTGGGCACTGTCTTCCCCTGTGTGTGTGTGTGTGTGGGGGGGGGGGGGGGGGGGGAGGTTAGTGGGCAGGGCGGGCCCTGCCGTGATGAACACGGTGGCCTCTCTCTGAAGTCTTTGCCAAGGGGCGTGGGGAGGCGGCCAGGGGAGGGCTGTGTGTGGGGCAGTGTCCACTCCCCCCACCGGGAACGGAGCACAGACGGACAGAAGGACAGGGCCCAGAAATGGCGCTCCCGGGACGCAAGCCCTGGGCTCTGTCACCCCTCTGCTTTTGCCTCCTGGTCTTGGCCTGCATTGTGGGTGAGGAGGGGTGGAGTGTGGGGGCACAGTCCTTGGTGCTCCGTGGCGGGAGGGGGTGGGTGTGGAGGCGGGTGCCCATGGGTCCGCCTGTGTGTGTGGTGGGGGGAGCAGAGTGTGCACATAGACGCTTGTGCCAGGGGCCAGAGGTAGTCCAGGGAGGAAGGCACTTGCCTCACACTCCACTGACCTGGGTTTGCTCCCCGCCACTATCAACCCTGAACCCCACCAGGGTTGATCTCTGAGCACCGTGCCAGGAGTAAGCCTGAGCACTGCCAAGTGTGGCCCAAGCACCCCCATCAGTGTTTTTTGTAAATATGTGTCTTATAGGTGTCTTTTTTTTTCTTTTTGGGTCACACCCGGCGATGCTCAGGGGTTACTCCTGGCTCTACACTCAGGAGTTATTCCTGGCAGTGCTCGGGGGACCGTATGGGATGCTGGGAATCAAACCCGGGTCAGCCGCATCCAAGGCGAACGCCCTATCTGCTGTGCTATCGATCCAGGCCCTAAATATGTGTCTTGAGTGTGCTCACGGGCATTGTATTTGCATGTGTCTGAGCGCGGCATTACACCAAAACTCTGAGTATGTGGACATGGGTGCGGGGGTACTGAGGGGCTGGGTAGGGGTGCGGGGGGCCCTCATACAACTGTAGCACTGTGCTGTCCTCCCGTTGTTCATCGATTTGCTCAAGCGGGCCCAGTAACGTCTCCATTGTGACAATTGTTACTGTGTTTGGCATATTGAATATGTCACGGGTAGCTTGCCAGGCTTTGCTGTGTTGGCGATACTCTTGGTAGCTTGCCGGGCTCATTGAGCGGGGCGGAGGAATCGAACTCAGGTCAGCCAAGTTGACTGCGTGCAAGGCAAATGCCCTACCCGCTGTGCTATCGCTCCAGCCCCTCTAACATTTACCATCTTTTTCTTTTGATTTTGGGTCACACCCAGTGGTGCCCAGGGGTTACTCCCAGTTTATTGCTGGGGCGTTTGCTGCTGGTTGTGCTTGGGAGGGGGCTGTGATGTGCTGGGGGGGTTTCATGGTGTTGGGGTTGAACCCAGACTCCCATGGTTCTCAGCCCAGCGTTAACCAATGAGACACACTGCCCCAGCCTGCAAAGTGCCGTCAGGGGCAGCCAGTGTTAGTTCAGTTTCCACCCCACTGTGTGGGTGTTTCTGCAGCCCCATTCTACAGAAAGTGAGACTGGGTGTGGGAGGTCCTGGGCAAGGCCATCGGGCAGGTGGCCTGGCGACCTCTGCAGGGGCACATGTGTCCCCTGGGCTGGCAGCTCTCCTGGAGAGGGCTTTGCCCGGGTGTGGAGGTGCTGACTCATGTGTCAGTAGGGGCCCTGGGCCCCACAGGCCTGCTAAGCCAGGCTCTACCCCTGGGGACAGAAAGTTTTCTGGGCTTGGGACAGAGCGATAGCACAGTGGGTAGGGGGTTTGCCTTGCACGCAGCCGACCCAGATTCGATTCCCAACATCCCATATTGTCCCCTGAGCACTGCCAGGAGTGATTCCTGAGTGCATGAGCCAGGAATAACCCCTGTGCATCACCAGATGTGACCCCAAAAGCACTGTAGCACTGTCCTCCTGTTGTTCATCGATTTGCTCGAGTGGGTCCAGTAACGTCTCCATTGTGAGACTTCTTGTTACCGTGTTTGGCATATTGAATACTTCACGGGTAGCTTGCCAGGCTTTGCTGTGTGGATGAGATACTCTCGGTAGCTTGCTGGGCTCTCCAAGAGGGGCGGAGGAATTGAACCTGGCTCAGCCTGGCCGGCGCGTGCAAGGCAAATGCCCTACCGCTGTGCTATCATCTAGCCCTAACCAAAAAGCAAAAAAAAAAAAAAAGGAAGTCTTCTGGGCTCTCCCCCCCCCCACACACACACACACAAGCACAGGGAAAGGGGTGCTGATGAGGAGGGGACAGAGGGTGCGAGCAGGGCCCCTGCACGCCCGAATGGGGCCTGGGGCTGCGGGAGGCTGGTGGTCAGGGGCAATGGGAGGGAAAGGCTGGCGGAGGTGCGTGGCTGAGCACTCACCCACACTGCCCTCTGGCCCTCCCTAGGGTGCCAGTCAAGGCCTCCCGCAGAAACCCCAGCTCCTGAGCCTGAGCCAGCAATGGGGCCCTGGAGCCTAGTCCAGGGCAAAGTGAAGGGATTGGTGGAGCCTCTGGTGAGCAGGACCAGGGAGACGTGGCAGCAGTTCTGGTGGGTATACAGGCCCAGACTGAGGGAGGAGGCCGGGGGATGGACCTTGGTCTGAGGGAGGAGGCTATGGGATGGACCCTGGTCTGAGGGAAGAGACTGGGGGATGGACTCTGGGTGTGAAGGAGGAGGGAACTGGGTGATGGACCCTAGTCTGAGGGAGGAGACTGAGGAATGGACCCTGATCTGAGGGGGGGGAGATTGGGGGGGATGGACCCTGGGTCTGAGGGAGGAGGGACTGGGGGATGAACACTGGTCTGAGGGGGGAGGCTGGGGATGGGCCTCTGGGTCTGAGGAGGAGGGGCTGGGGGATAGACCCTGGGTCTGAGAGAGGAGGGACTAGATGATGGGCCCTGGTCTGAGGGAGGAGGCTGGGCATGGGCCCTGGTCTGAGGGAGGAGGCTTCGGATTGACCCTGAATCTCAGGAAGGGATTCCTGATTCTGAAGGGGATAAGGCGGGTCATAGGGGTAGACGTATCGGGGTTGAGCAGGCTCTCAGCTGCCATGTCCCTGTCCCGCAGGGGCCCCGGGGCCTTCGGAGGCTACATGCAGACATACTATGAAGACCACCTGAAGGACCTGCAGCCCCGCGCCCAGGCCTGGCTGCACAGCTCCAAGGAGAAGCTCCTGAGCAGGGCACACAATCTGTGCCCCTCGCTACTCTGTGGGTCCCAGAACCAGGACTGATGCGCCCCGCGGCCCCCCAATAAAGAACGCTTGCCCCGTTTCCCTGCCCATCCCTCCCGCGGTGCCCGCTGAGAGAACTTCTGGCCTCCAGTGGTCCGAGAGGAACGAGTGTCTGTCTGTGTATGTGTGTGCGGGGGGGCGTCTAAAGACTCTGGGGTGCTGCTGGAGCGATAGCACAGCGGGTAGGGCGTTTGCCTTGAATGCAGCCGACCCGGGTTCGATCCCCGGCATCCCATATGGTCCCCTGAGCACCACCAGGAGTAGTTTCTGAGTGCATGAACCAGGAGTAACCCCTGAGCATCGCTGGGTGTGACCCAAAAAGAAAAAAAAAAAGACTCTGGGGGCTGGGAAACTCCAAGCTCCCTGGTTTGATACTGATGGTGAGGCTGGAAGCACTTAGGACCGGCCGCTTCCCCACACCCCCTCATTTCCTGCCCACGGATGAAGACCCCAGACCCTATTCCTCGTGGCTCCCTGGAAAACTTTCCACAACCCCCCACCCAGCCTGTCTCTGGGGGTCCCGGTGGCCTGACCTCAGGGACGCCGCTGCCCTCTGTCCCCACCCCACCCCTCTGGTACTGTTGGCTGGGACTTTGGCCGGGCCACTGGGTGGGGGAGGCGGGAGGGGACTCTCCGGAGCTATAAAGCCCTCCTGGGCACGGCTGTGGGGACCGTGGGAGTGACAAGAACAGCCCTCTGAGACCGGTAAGAGGGTGGATGCCAAGGGGTGGCAGGGAGGGGGCTATTGTGGAATCGATGGTGGGAGTCAAATATCTGGGGCGGAAACAGTGGCTCTGGGATCTATCCTGATTGCCCACGGGGGCTTGGGTCCTGACCACCTCCTGCCTCGGTTTCCCCATCTTCTGAATAGGGGGATGGGCAACAGGGCAGCTGGCCCCCGAGGCGAGACGCGGGGTGCAGGATATGGAGGATCGCTCTCTCAGGGGGCTGGCGGGGTCCTCTGTGGAGACTCTTCCAGGCTACACCATCCGCCCAGCCCTGCCAAGGGCTCCCGGCAACGTTCCCTCAGGCCTGAGTGAGCAGCGGGAAGGGCCCTTGCCTGGCACAAAGCAGACCTGGGTTCGATCTCCGGCATCCCAGGTGGTCCCCCTGAGCACTGCCGGGACCGAGCCCTGAGTGGAGAGCCAGGAGTCAACCCTGAGCACAACAGGGTGTGGTCTGAAAACAAAATCAACCCCCCAAGACCCCCTTCCTTTGCTCTGTCAGTGTCAGCTCCGGCCGTTTCTCACATACCTGGCGAGGGCGGGGCCTTTGTGGGCTCCAGAGCTGTGAGTGCTCAGGAAGGACTCCCCGGGAGAAGGTGCAGGGTCTAGAACGAGCTGTGCCGTCACGGGCAGGAACGCAGGCCGCACAGGTGGTAGACGGGCTGGGTCCCCTGCCTCACATGGTCCTGCACTCCCCCCACCTGCCAGTGCCACAGAAGGGACCCTCGAGCACCACTGGAGGTGGCTCCAAAAGAGAAGGAGGGAAAAGAGGGACTGGAGAGATAATACAGTAGATAGCATGCTCACCTTGTACCTTGTACGGGGCCAACTCGAGATTAGTCCCCAGCATCCCAGAGGGTCCCCTGAGCACTGCCAGGAGTGATCCCTGAGCAACGCTGGGTATGACCCCAAGAACAAAAAAAGGAAAGGCGGGGCCAGAGTTATAGTACAGCGGGTAGGGCGTTTTCCCTGCAAACGGCCAATCCGGGTTTGATCCCCGTCATCCCATATGGTCCTCTGAGCATCACCAGGAGTAACCCCTCAGCATCGCCGGGTGTGACCCAAAAAGCAAGTAAAAGAAGAAAAAGAAAACAGAAAGAAAAAAAAAGCACGCTCTTACCAGGAGGGGAGCTCGGCATCAGAAGGGAATCAGGGACTTGGGTCACTGTAGGAGGAATGTGATGGGGGAGGGGTATGGTCAGGCCCCCCCCCCCCCCCGGAACAGAGGCCTCCAGGGGCTCTGCCCCCACACTCTCCAGTCTTGCAGGACCCCCGACACCATGGACAGCAGACTCCTTGCGCTGACTCTTGTTCTCCTGATACTGGGATGCGGTGAGTACGGCCCCCCAGAGGGCGGTATCTGGGGCGTGGGGGATGAACCCCTAGTCTCCTTCAGCCCAGCTGCACTGCAGCCTACGGCCTTGCCCACTGCAGCAGGCCCTAACACCCGCCCTCTCCCCTGCAGAGGCCCAGGTGGCACCCCAGGAAGATGAGGCGCTCCTCTCCCAGTTCCAGACTTCCCTATTTGGGTACTGGGACACTGCCAAGACGGCCGCGCAGGACCTGTACGAAAAGGCATCCCTGAGCAGCATGGATGAGAAACTCAGGTACATTCCCCAGGAGCCACTTCTGGCACCCCAGCTCTCACTGAGAACCGGGAGACCCCGCTGCACACCCCACTCTTTCTACTCATGCTCAAGCCTCAGGGAATTCAGCTGTGGTCCCCCTGCTGACCATTCTGCTCCGTCACACCTGGGGGTCTGGGGCTGGAGCGATGGTTCAGTGGGGAGGGTGTTTGCCGTGCACGTAGGCGACCCAGGTTCGATCCCTGGCATCCCATAGGGTCCCCTGAGCACCGCCAGTCCTGAGTGCAGAGGCAGAGCATCACTGGGTGTGGCCCCAAAGCAAAAATAAATTAAGAGAAAGAAAAGTGCTGTCACCAAAAGTGACACCAGGACTCGCCCTGCCAGGATTGATGCCCGAGTGCAGAGCCCAGAATAAGCTCCAAGCACTGCTGGGCATGCCCCCACCCCCCACCAAAAAAAATAAATAAAAAAGAACTGGGAGTCTGAGGCTGGAGCAATAAATAGTACAGTGGGGAGGGCGTTTGTCAACCTGAGTTTGGTCTCCAGCATCCCATAGAGTCTCCCAGTGAGTGCAGAGCCAGGAGTAACCCCTGAGTATCACCCAGAAAGAAAAAACAGCAACAACAACAACAAAACCTGGGAGACTGAGGGTCCAGCCCTGGCGACCTGCGGGTCCAGGAATCCATCCTCCCTATGGCCCCCAATGCCTAGGACAGGATTTTGGGCCCAGCCCAGGCATGGGGGTGGGGGGGTTTGTCCTTCAGCCCCAGGTCCCAGCTCCTCTCTGAGGCGCTGCCCCTCTCCCCAGGGATATTTACAGCCAGAGCACAGCCGCGGTGTCCACCTACGCTGGGATCTTCACTGATCAGCTCTTCTTCCTGCTCCGGGGAGACCAGTAATGGCCGGGCCAGGGAGGGCCCAGCTGGCGGCGACCACTCCGGGCTGACCCGGGGGGCCCCACTTCCCAGCAAGCCCGCAGCACCCCACAGCCCCTCCAGCTGGATTCGTTATCAATAAAATTGGGTCATGTTCCTTCTCTTTGTGGTGGTTCGTGGGCATCTGGGGAAGCCCAGATGGGGGGGCTGGGGGTCGGGGACTCGGGGTTCAGGCCGGTGCTCAGGTGCTGAGCGAGAGCCAAGAGCATGTCCCCCTCATCCTGGCGCTGGTCAGCTCCTCTGCACAACTGCTGGTTCTCGAGGCCAGCCAGCACAAGGAGGAGGGGGCCAGGGTCTGCACAGGACTGGGGGGAGGGGGACTGGGGCCTCAAGTCAGGGGCCAGGGCCCAGTGGCCCTCACAACAGACCTGGCCAGCCTGAGCCGGAGACAGTTCCTGTATCTCTGCTATCTGTCTCTGGGAGGGGGCAGGAAAAAGTCCAAGGGTCTAGCCACGTGTGAGAGGGCGAGGGCCAGTGCTGGCGCGGTCCCCTGGCCTTAGTCATCACGGCGGCCAGTGTGTTTTGTTAGCTGTTGCTCTCTGTCACAGCTTCCCGGGACGTGGGGCTGGCCCTTCCCGAGGCTCTGTTTTCCTGCTGTTTAGTGGCCGGGATTAAACCCAGAGCCTTGACTGGTGCCCCCTCCCCCGCCTCTGTTGTCCTTGTTCTCGATGTTATTTGTTTTGGGGGCCATCCACAGCAGTGCTCAGGGGTTCCTCCTAGCTGTGCACTCAGGGATCACTCCTGGGTGGGACTTGGAAACTACTTGGGGTCCGGGGGTTGAACCTAGGTTGCTGCATGCAAGGCTAGTGCCTTACCACATTTACTCTCTCTTTGGCTTCCCTCAACCTCTTTATTATTTTTTTTTTGGGGGGGGTAACACCCGGCAATGTTCAGGGGTTACTCCTGGCTCTGCACTCAGGAATTACTCCTGGCAGTGCTTGCGGGACCCTATGGGATGCTGGGGATTGAACCTGGGTCGGCCATGTGCAAGGCAAATGCCCTCCCTGCTGTACTATAGCTCTGCCTGCCCCCAGCCTCATTAGGTCTGAGGGATAGCACTGGGGAATCCGTAGGCCTGTGGAAGCATCACAGCGGTTGAGTACTGAACCCTCCTCCTGACCCACCTGGTGTCACTAGGGGGGGCACTGGTGATCCCCAGTGGGTCTGGCTGGTATAGCCAGACAGAGCATGGTTGGAAGTTGGTCCCCCAGCAGCAAACAGCTCTTGTAGCCCAAGAAGGAGTGAGTTATGAAGAACCCTAGGTGCTCTCTGGACTCCAGGGTGAAGAGGGTGGTCCAGGCCCCCCACCATGGGTGGGGCTGTGACCCCGTGGGAGCATCTGGGGCCTATGTTCCTCTGTCTCTTCGCAAGCCTTTTACCCTCCTGGGCAGTGTGCCCAGCTCCTGGGGCCGGGCATTAGCCAGTCCAGTGGAAAACAGGGGCCTTGGCGAGGGGAGGAGGGGTGGGAAATGTCCCCATGTCCCCAGCGCCTGGGAAGAGCAGAGACTGCCAAGCCCAGGGGGCGCTGGAGGGGGGGAGGACCCCTGAGGAACAATCCCTGCTCTGTCCACTTGTTTCCCACGGACTCCGGCCAAACCAAAGAGCCTCGCAGGCCAGTTCCGCTTCCAGCCAACCGGTGGCCAGGCCCAGATCCCTCCTTCCTTTCTCAAGCACCCGCCCCAGCCCCACTCCCCTCGCGACCCCACAAACCCCCTCCCTCCTCCGTCTCTGGAGTTTGGATCCCCCCACCGTCTCCGCAAGCCCCAGAAGTCTGGGCCCCCAGGGCCCTTCGGCCCTTCCAAGCTGACCCCGCAACCTGCCGTGGTTGACGGGCGCCCCCTCGTGGACGGCTGGCTGGGGCTGCCTTGGAGAATTTGGTTTCCAGGCTGGCTTCGGGGAGGGCTGACTAGGGCTTGGGTTCATTGGAGGGCACAGTGCATGCGTGGTGGGGGAGACCACCGTGCACATGCCTCTGGTGGTGGGGAGCTCTAGTGCAGGAGAGACAGAGTGCAGTCTATGCTGAAGGCAGAGAGGGGGGTGACAGGAAAGCTGGGTACACAGCTTCAAGGCCCCTCACCTGCTGGGGCTCTCTGGGGTTCTTCTACTTCAATTTGTGTGTGTTTTTTGGGGGGGTCCAATCTCAGCGGTGCTCATTGCTCAGGGTCGCACCTGGTGGTGTTTGGGGATCTTACATCCCCAAGTGCTCCAGTCCTTGGAGTTTCTCCCTACTCCAGACTTTCTTAAATAAACTTTTTTTTTTGGGGGGGGCTATACACAGCAGTGCTCAGAGCTGGTCCTGTCTGTACTCAGGAGTGACCCCTGGGGGTGCTAGAGAAGTTTTGTGGTGCAGGGGGTTGTGGCACCCCCCCCTTCAAAGAAAAAACAAAACAAAACAGGATTGGGCGAGTTTTTTGGTTTGGAGCCAAACTGGGCCGTGGCTCAGGACTTGACTCCTAAGGATGTCAATGGGGTGCTGGGGATTGTACTTGGGTTGGCTGCATGCAAGGCAAACACCCTACCCGTTGTACCCTTCCTTCCGTACCCGAGGGACATATGTTTGTCCATTCTCACTGGCTTTCAGAGGCAAGTCACTCAGAAAGTGTCATCCTTTCTGGATGGAAAGATAGTCCAGTGGCTAAGGAGCTTGCCTTGCATGTGGCTGACCCGGATTTGGTCCCTGGCACCCCATTAATGGACTGTCTGGGCCTGGCTTCCTGTCACCAGCTCCAGCCAGGATCAGAGCGATGTCTTTGGGTACTAGAGAACAATCTTTCCAAAGTGGGGGCCCATCCGGAGGAGCAGTCACAGCCTTAGGGGGACCTGGGGGTTGATACATATTTGTTTCAACCTTGGGAACTGGCAACCTTGGTAACTGGAGTGATTCCCAGGACCCCATATGGTCCCTGAGCACCACCAGAAGTGATTCCTGAGTGCAAAGCCAGGAGTAACCTCTGAGTGTCTCTTGGTGTGGTCCCCAAAACAAAAACAAACAAAAAGAAAGTAAATTGTCATCCTTTCATCAGCCCCTGGGGGAATGCATAGTCAGAACACAAAGTGGTTAGGAACCGGGTGGGGAGTCCAGGAATCCAGGGTAAAATGGGGAGCCAGTGACCACCCAGTCCGGGAGGCACAGGGAGGATCTTCTTAGGGGAGAAGCAGACCGAGCGGAAAGTTGAGGAAGTAGACAGTAAAATGATAAATCATTCCCAAGTTCAAATCATTCCCATGCACTGGGGAACGCGCATGCGCATAAGGCATCCCCCGTACTTGGGACGAGGCAATAGGCGCCCCATAGCGGTAGTGACCTGTGGACACTGCGATGGTAACTGAGCATACAGCTACTGGGGTGCTTGTCGGAAGAGTGGGTTGCCTTAGGAGGGAGAGAACGGGTAAAGTACCTAATGGTGCAGATTTTGATCAGCAAATTGGCAGCCCCGGGCGAGTAGGTGGGCCAAAGGAAAGGCAGAAAGTAGCACAAAGTCTAATAGACAAAGAAGAAACTGTTTCTTTTTCTTTTGTTTTTGGGCCACAGCCGGGGACGCAGGGCTGGTTTGCACTTAGGAATCACTCTGCGATACTGAGGATCTAACCAAGGTCAGCCTTGTGCAAGGCAAATGCCCAACCCACTGCACTGTATCTCCGGCTCCTTAAGGGAAAGAAACTGAAGCTTAGAGATGCGTACCAGGAGGCGCCGGTCACAGTATAATCTGGGTTTGAACCCAGACCAGACTTCCCCAAACTCACTGGTGATGGTTAACTGCCGCCCAGCGTTCTGTGCACCGAGGCCTAGAACCAGGTTCTCTCAACATGTGTCCAGCTTTGGCGTCGCAGCAGGAAACTAGTTAAGAAGCAGAGACCCGGCTGGGGCTGGGGTGGAAGCTTTGCATGCAAAAGCCCCAAGCTAGACCCCGGTATCTCTTGGTCTCCATGGCACCGCACTGGGAGCGACCCAAGAGACCATGAGCAACACCGGGTGTGGCCCAACCCCTCTCCAAGAGTTTAAAACTGTTCTGGGCTCCGGAAGCCAAGTGCTGGGGTTGTGATAGAAAACCAAGGAACCTCCTACCACCAGCACTGGGGAACGCGCATGCGCATAAGGCATCTTCTCCTCCCCCCCCCCGTACTTGGGACGAGGCAATAGGCGCCCCATAGCGGTAAGGTGACCCTGTGGACACTGCGATGGTAACTGAGTGTACAGCTATTGGGGTGCTTGTCGGAAGAGTGGGTTGCCTGAGGAGAGAGAGAACGGGACACCGAAGAAGGGACCGGCCCGCCGAGTCCCGGTACGGTGGCCAGGGAGGGTCATTGGAAGGCGGGCGGGCGTGGCTGGGCGGAACGTCTCGAACTGTTACGGTGGCCGAGAAAGCTCAAACGTCTTGGGCTAAAAAAAGCCTCGCGGAGCCGGAGGGACGAAGCGTGCAAGATGGTGCCGAGGGCGCCTACGACCAGAAGAGGCGGGTCTGCTCGAGTGGGAAGAAAAAGGTCTGGCGCCGTCGGGGAGAGCCCAGAAAAATCCTCGGAGCTCAGAGCGGACGGCCGGCCGGAACGAGGGAGGAGTACGGTGGCCGCGTTGGCCCGCTCCCGGCCGGCGGAGGGCGGGGCGCTCTTGCGCACTACGGTGGCCGGCGGGTCCGGGGCGCTGAAATCTCGCGCGATCGCGCTGGCGCCGTCGGGGACGGGGCGGGGCTGGCGGCGGGGGCGGGGACCCGGAGCGGGAAGATGGCGGCGGCGCAGGAGGCGGACGGGGCCGGCAGCGCCGTGGTGGCGGCCGGGGGAGGCGGCTCCGGTCAGGTACGGCGGCCGAGAGGGGCCCGAGGGGTTCCTGCCGAGCCGGGGGGGCTCTCACGGGGCGTGTCCTGCCCCCTCTCCCCGGACCCCGTGCACGGGGAGCCCCGTGCCCAGAGGGACCTTGAGTGTCGGGCCCAGGCGGGGCCGGTGGCCCGGGAGGCCGGACCGAGCGGGGAGCAGGAGCCGCCGCGGCGCGCCCGGGTGCCCTGCACGCTCGCGCCCGGCTGCCGGCCTGCCCGCCAGCCGGCCCCTCGCTCGAGCCGGCGAGACCGCGGCGCGGAGAGGCACAGACTCGTCCCCGGGACGTCCTGGAGGCTTGGCGACCGAGCGAGCCCGGTCTCCGAGACGGATCGTCGAGTGGGCTGGCGTCCAGGCTCTGCCTGGCTGAGCCCGAGGTGCAGGCGCTGGTTGATGATTCGCGGGTTTTCTTTCTGCGCGCTGGGGAAGTCTGGTGCTGATGCGGGGCATAGGGGCCGGGGACAGCGAGCGACAGACCCATTTCACAGACGGAGACGGAGGAGCTTGCAGCTGGCCACCCACTTAAGAGATTGGGACTCACAGTGGCCGGGGCATGGCCGGCCCTGGGTGATTAGAACCCCAGAGACTGTGCCTCGAGCATCCCTTGTGCATGGGGCGGGGTGGGGGGTGTTGGGGGGCGCGAGCTGCTGACTTTCTCCCCGTTGCTGCCTCCAGCCGACCTAGGCTGCGAAGAAGCCTCGGAGTTGAGGCAGTCACCTTCCCCGGCGTGGAGGGAACCGGTGGAGTGACAGTGAGGTGCAGTCGACCCACCCACTGGGATGTGCCTGACATGTGGGAGGCAGCGGGGAGAGAGGCGTGCAGGTTAGAAGGAGTGAGGCTGACTCCATGTGACCTTGGGCCTTCCTTTCTGGGGGGGGGGGTTGCAGAGGTACTCGGAGGGAGTGGGGGGAAGGGGAGGGCGCCCCAGAGCTGGACCCCAAAGTTTGCTCCAGCCCCAGGTCTCTCCTCCAGGGGAGAGGGCGAGAGGAGAACTGCTGGGAAAACCAAGGTTTTGGAACCCTGAATGACTAGGTTGGGGTGACAGAAGGGTGAGCCTGGGGAGCCTTGGGAAGGAGGAGGCGGTGCACTGGCGCCCAGTACTCCGGTGTCTGAATTCCTGCACGATCTTCAGGCAGGGACTTGCGGAGCTGGGGGTGGCAGGCCGTGTCTGGGGTGAGGCTGCGGGTTAGACACTGCCCACGCTGACCTGTGACTGACCTGTCTTTGCCCCCTCTGTGTGGCTGCTGGTGGCCGGGTGATCAGAATCGACTCCAGGCTCCTCTGGGCCCCCGAGCACACCTGTCATCAAAGCCTTGGCCCTTGTGGTGAAGCCGATTTTCCTTTGGTTTTTCTGTGTTCTTGTTTGGGGGCCACACCTGATGATGCTCAGGCCTTATTCCTGGCTCTGCACTCAGGGATCACTCCTGGCGGTGCTCAGGGGCTACTCCTGGCTCTGTACTCGGGAAGTACTCCTGGGCGGTGCTCAGGGGACCCTATGGGATGCCGGGGATCCCATACCTGCTGTGCTCTCGCTCCGGCCCAGGAGCAGATGTTCCTTGGCTGATGAAGTTCTTGCGCAGATGCACCAGAATCATTGCCAGCTTTCGGGGGGGCTAGTTCTTTGTTGGCGGTGGTGGGGATAATTGTTTTGGCTACCGTGGCATGCTTGGTGGCATTTCTGCCCTCTGGATGGCACACCCCCCCTTTCCCAGTCCTGAACCCCCCCAGACATTGCAGTGGGGTGGGGAGAGAACCCCACAGAATCATCTTGGCTGGACACCACCCTCGACATGGTGGTCATTAGCCCCTCCTGAGCTCCCTTTCCCCCCAAATGTGTCTCGCTCTCTCTCTCTCCATCAGCTTCTCATGCTTCTCCCCACCTTGGCTGGTTGAGCCCTGCCAGCCACGAACCTCGTACCCATCAGGTCATCAATTGTAGGATAACACTGTTCTGTCCTTCCTGCATAACCTCAGGAATAGTTGATAGTTTATTGGACTGAGGAAAAGAGAAAAACACCTTAAGAGGTATCTTGCCCTTGAGCAATCAGGAAAATCAGGAAGGGCTTTCTTATGTTGATTTGGCTACCTGACTGGGTGGAGTGTCAGCCCAGACTAGAAGGGAGCTGGAGAAGGAGAGAGCAGGGCTGAAAGATGGACTACCGAGAGACTAGCAAGGGGAACATGTGCTTGAGAGAACCTAGGCCCTCCACAACATAAGTTCTTCTATGGGATAAACTTCCTTGTAATAAACTGCCACTAAGATCAACCGGCCTGGCCCTCGTCTCTTCCTTCATCTGCCCTTGGCCAACAGCCGTCCCGATGCAGGCCACACACAGCGGCTCTAGGGCACCGAACGCGGGCGGTGAGATAGAGCCGTCCAGAGAGCCCGCGAACACACAACCTTCTGCGTGCATAGTTTTTTACAATCAATGACTCTGTTTTCACTGACCTGGTGGTGGTGGTGGGGGGGTTTCAGAGGACAGAAGCAGGACCTTGGGTCATGGGTGGCCGGGGTGGGGGGCGGGGGAACATGCTCCGTGCTGCCATGGTTATACCCTTGGCTGTGGCTTTGGCGAAGACCCCCACTCCCCTGTCACAGTCTCAGGTGCTTCCTGTCCCCTCTGAGGGGGTTCCTGGACATAGGGGTCCCAGTGGGATCTGCATCTCAGCCACTGTCAGTCAGCGTGTGAGAAAGTGATGGCACCATGGGCCGAGGCAAACTGGGGTGCTGTGGTTAACAAGGGGTTGCTAGCAGGAGGGCGGGAGGGAGTCTGGGATGGTGCCGCCTGCCAAGGGCCGGGGTGTGTGAGGGGACAGGAGAGCGGAGGGTGGCTGCGGGTGGGATTACTCTGCTTCTCTGGGAACAGCAAGCGTCCTTTGGCTCGAAGCATTCGACTTGTGGTCCGTGCAGGTCCCGGGCCCTGGGCTCACTGTCCGTGCTGGACGCATGTCCCGCCTGCTGGCTGTCCCTCTGTCCCTGGTGCTGGACCTGGTGTCTGGTCGAGCACGCTGGTGTCTGGCGGGTGAATGCTCACTCAGGCCCTACCATGATCCTGGGGTATGACCCCCTGTGGTGTCGGTGTTGGGGTGAGCCCTAATTTCATGCCTGAGGGGCAGGGGCCCCCAACCCTCTCCCGGCCCTCTGGAGTGGTTTCCAGCCCCTTGTCAGGGGAGTCTGGGAGACACATCCTGGTTGGGGGACCCCAAGTCAGCTCACGCCTGCGGCTGCCCTGAACCAAAGACCCCCTCCACCCCTCGGGCAGAGGTGTGGCTCCCTGCCCCCACCCTGTCGCCCCCAGCGGGCCTCTTGCTGTTGCCTTTGGGGGGGGGGGGGGGGGTTGGGCCATCCCCAGTGGTGCTCGGAGGTTGCTCCTGGTGAGTTTAGGGGGGCGCCGAGCTGTGCTGCGGCTGGATGGGGCCTCAGCCTGGGCGTCTTCCTGGCCTTCCTGGCTGTCGGGGTGTTTTCGCCTCCACCCTGAACCCGTCTCTGTGCCCTGGGACCCACTTTTGTACACCCTGGGCCATTGTGAGGTCTGGGCAGTTCCTGCTCCGGGTCAGCATAGGCCCAGGAGGGCAGCGTGTGGCAGTGACTGCTGGACCCCAAGTCCCCCTTCTTTTTCCTGGGTGCCATCCCCTCTGTTGACACTTCTCCTTGCTCCTAGGTTGCTTGGGGCTGAGGGGGGTGGAGGAGTGAGTCTGGCTGCAGAAGCCCAGTGGGGAGAGGATTTGGGGCTGTGGGGCTGCCCTGCAGAAGCACTTGCCGGGTTTGGGAGGGCTTGTGAGAGGACTCCTGCCTTAGTGCTCGGGGTTCACTCCCGGCAGTGGCTGCCCTGGGCGGTGGTGGGGACCCTAAATTAGCAGAAATGACTTTGAGTGAGGGAGGGCTGTGGGATCAGGTGCGGGTCTGCTGGTCCTCTTGTGCCCCTGGGGTGAGGCCCCCATGAGCTCTGTGTGGCCGCCCGGATGGGCACTGTAGCCCGGCTCTGCCCAGCCTCATGGGAGTGGGCTGCTGGCGACAGCCTATCTGTGGGGTCCCCCATGCACCTCAGCCTCTGGCCCCCAGGCAGGGCCAGCACTGAGATCTCCACAGACCTTCCTGCTGCTTCTCCCACGTCCCCTCTGGCTTGGCCCGCAGGAAGCCCTCCTGGCTCCTGCCAGAGCCAGATGCCCCCTAGGTCCCCTGTGGCCCAGGTCAAATCCCTCCGGGTTTGTTCTTTTCTTACTTTTCTTTTGGGTCACACCTGGCAATGCTCAGGGGTGACTCCTGGCTCTGCCCCCAGGAGTCACTCCCGGTGGTGCTCCGGGACCCTACGGGATGCCAGGAAATGAACCTGGGTCAGCCATGTGTAAGGCAAATACTCTCCCCACTGTACTATTGCTCCGGCTCCTGGGTTTGCCCTTTCTGAGACAGTTCTGGCCCCGTCAGAACATCCCAGGGGATAGGGTCATCTCTTTGTCCCTAGCAGAGGGGACCTTACGGGAGTTTTTGCCCTCTTTTTTTTTTTTTTTGGTGCCACCCGAAGGCTGTTCCTGGTTCAGTGCTCTGGGGGCCCTGCAGTCCTGGATGGCACCTGGGGCTGTGGCAGCTGAGCCCATGACCCTCGCTCTCTCCTTGCCCCAGTTCTGCGGGGAGAAGAGTATCCCCTGCTTCTGCCTGTCCTGAGCCCCACTCACCCCAAGGCCCTCATCAGCCTCTGTGCCCTGCAGGTGACCAGCAATGGCAGCATCGGGAGGGATCCGCCGGCGGAGACCCAGCCCCAGAACCCAGCGCCCCAGCCAGCACCCAATGCCTGGCAGGTCATCAAAGGCGTACTGTTCAGGTGAGTGGGGGCGCCAGATAGGGGTGTGACCAGGTGGGGCCTGGGGTAGGGGTGTGACCAGGTGGAACCCCGGGCAGGGGTGTGACCAGGCAGAACTCCGGGCAGGGGTGCAACCAGGCAGGGCAGGGCTGGGCAGGGATGTAACCAGGCGGGGCCCCAGGCAGGGGTGCAATCAGGCTCAGGCAGGGCACTGGCCTCAGGGGAGCCACGTGACCGCTCTACCTCTGGCACGCGAACCTTCGAACTTGGGTCGCCATGCGCCAGGTGACCACCTTCCCAGTTGTACTCTCTGGCCCTGGCCTCTCTTTTATTTTTTGCCTTTTGGACCACACCCCGGGGGGCACTGCTCCTCTCCTCATGCTCTCATTAGGGCCCCACACCTGTGCTCAGGAGCAGCAAGGCTGAGGGGATAGAGGAAAGCTGTTCACGCCGCACAGATGAGGCTGCAGGAGCCCTGTGCCCAGCAAGGATACTCCCTGTGAGGGTGTTCCCGGCATGGCCCCACAATGGGAAAACACGGGGCCCGCCTGACCAAGGGGTGCAGCCTCATGGGTCGGGAGGTGGCCACACGTGCTGTCGTGTATGCATCCTCACGCGTGGAGCAGGCAGGCGCCTCCCTTCTCTTCCTCTTTGCAAGGGGCATCCCAGCCGGACACACACTAGAGCTGGGGACAGAGGCTAGGGCAAGACGAACCTATCTGTGGCCTTGAGTTAACCTAAAACGACTAAGCAAAGGGGCCGGAGCGATAGTCCAGAGGGGAGGGCGTTTGCCTTGTATGTGGCCGACCAGGGTTCAGTCCCCAGCATCCCAAATGGTCCCCCGAGCACCACCAGGGGTGATTCCTGAATGCAGATCTAGGAATAACCCCTGACCACCGCCAGGTGTGGCCCAAAAACCGAACAAGAAAAACCTAAGCAGAGACCAGGGAGAGGAGAAGGGCGAAGCCTGCACGCTGCTGACTGCGGGCCTGTTTCTAGCACCCAGTAGGGCCTTAAACCCGCCAGGAGTGATCCCTGAGCACTGATGGGTATGGTTCCCCCCAAACACGAAGCAAAACAAAAGATAAAGCTCAGGCATAGCCTTCACTCCAGGTGGGGTTGACCACCTGCCTGGTGCCCGTGGCAGTGCCGTGTAGGACACTGAGAAGCCGTGTGGGGCTCCCCCTCCTGCCTCCGCTGGGGAGCCTGTCCTTTCTCTTGTGCTTTCTCACTCCCCCAACCCTGCCCGGCCCCTGCATGGGCCTCAGCATTATTTTGCTTGCTTGCTTGTTTTTTCACTTTCTTTGTTTCTTTCTTTCTTTTTTTTTTTTCTTTTTGGGTCACACCCGGCGATGCACAGGGGTTACTCCTGGCTCGTGCACTCAGGAATTACTCCTGGCGGTGCTCGGGGGACCATATGGGATGCTGGGAATTGAACCCAGGTCGGCCGCATGCAAGGTAAACGCCCTACCTGCTGTGCTATCGCTCCAGCCCCCCCTTATTTCCTTCCTTCCTTCCCTCTTTCCTTCCTTCCCTCTTTCCTTCCTTCCTTCCTTCCTTCCTTCCTTCCTTCCTTCCCTCCCTCCCTTCCTCCCTCCCTCCCTCCCTCCCTCCTCTTTTGGGCCGCATCCAGCAATGTTCAGGAGTTACTCCTGGTCTACATTCAGGAATCAGTCCTGGAGGTGCTCGGGAGACCATATGGGAATGCCGAGAATTGAACCTGGGTCAGTCACTTGCAAGGCCAGCACCCTCCCTGCTGTGTTGTCGGGGCCCCTCCTTTGCTCTTGCTGTGGACACTGTTGGGACTGCTTTGGAGACGCCTGGGGCGAGGTTTGAACCCAGCACCTCTCCCTGCTCTAGGACCTGTCACTTTTCTTCTTTCTTTCTTTTTGGCTTTTGGGCCACTCCCAGGGGCGGTGCTCAGGGGATCATGGTGCTGGAATTGAACCCTGGTCAGCTGTGTGCAGAGCCAGTGCCCTCCCCCTTGTATAGTCATTCCAGCCTGTTGGACATTTCCCCCCACACACAAACACCCTGCAGTGCTCAAGAGTTACTCCTGGCTGTGCTTGAGGGGCCATATGGGATGCTGGGATCCAGTCCGGGTCAGCCGCGTGCAAGGCAAATGCTCTCCCCGCTGTGCTGTCGCCCTGGCCCCTCAGGTGCAGTGTTCTTAGCAACTGGGGTAAAGTGGGTTTTCTTCGACCCCTCATGTTCTGAGAGGCAGCTGGTTGCATATGGTTCTACATCTTTCTTTTTTTTTTATTAGTGGAGGGGGCACACTTGATGGTGCTCAGGGGTTATTCCTGGTGTTCTTCGAGGAGCCCATATAGGATGCCAGGGATGATTGAACCTGGGTTAATTGTGTGCAAGGCAGCTCCCTCCGCAGTGTGCTGTCTGTCCACCTGCCAGTTCTGCATTGTGAGTGTCTTTTGCCTCCTGGATACCTCAGAAATCTTCCCACCTCACCCCACAAGGTTGTGTCCTTTGGAGGGACATCCCGGGCTCGGTGGAGTGGCTGTGCCCAGGGACTGTCTCTGCCGTTCTTTCCTTTTTAGATTTTGGGTAATGCCTGGGGGCTACTTCGGGCCTGGACTCGGGACTCTGGTGATGCTCAGGGGGGATCCTGCCATTCTAGAGGTCAAATCTGACCTTCCGTGTATACAGCCCATGCTCAGCCCATTGTGCGTGCGCTCTCTCTCTCTTCTCTCTCTCTCCCTTCCCTTCTCTCTCGTCTCACAATTCTTTCATTTTCAGTTAAACTTCTTTTCTGGTGTTTTGGGTTGCCCTTAGCAGTGTTGAGGGGGCCTGGGGAGCACTGAACCCGGGGCTCCGTCTGCTTCTGCCCTCTGATTTGCCATCCTGGCGCCTGGACAGTCACTCTTGGTGGCCAGTGGCCCTGGGGCTTCATGCAGGGGTTTGGGAGTGGCAATGGGGGTGGTGGGGGTGGGGAAGTCCTGGTTGTCAGCAGCTCCCTGGGAGTTGGTGATACCTGGGGAGATCCATGAGCGGGAAGGGGGCCCTGCTGTCTGTCTTCCTGCATTGTCCATTTGTCCGAGTCAGGGATGTGGAGCCTGGGTGGGATGCAGGAGTTGGGGGCTCTCAGCTGTGCACCCCAGGAAACTGTGAGATGCTGCCTGTCCCCTGTAGGTCAGCAGCCTTGGGGTAGGAGGGCTGTGCCCACAAGCCCCTGGCGAGGGTCCCCCAAATTGGGCATGTGTTCGGTAGGGAGGGCCTGGAGACCCGGAAGCCTCCAGTGACCGGAATCCCCCAGCTCACACTGGACCCCGCAGAGCTGCCTCTGCCCGCCCCCGTGCCCAGAATCTCCCTGGTGTTCTCTCTGAAACGGGAACCTCTGTTGGAGGCGGATGGGTCCCCCAGAGTCCTGGTTCCAGACCTCCCCTCGTGGTGCACCCCGGGGACTTGTGGGGAGGCGGCAGATGGCACAGCTGGGCTGCAGTCCCTGAGGGCCTGCCCCGGGTGCCGCTGAGCAGGCTTCAGGCTCCATAGGGAGGCACTATGCCTCTGTGAGAACTTCCTCCTGGTGGTTTTCTGTGCCCGGGCACACCTCCCTACCCCCCCTCCCCGCCTCGGCCCAGGCCTGGCCAGGCACTGCTAGGGTTGGGCCTGCAGGGCTCAGCTTGCAGTGCTCCCCGGGGCACACACTCTCAGTCCAGGCTCCCTCCCTCTGCTATTCCCTGGGGCACAGGGGCTGGCAGGGGACTCGTGTCTGGCGGTGGCACACACACAGCTCTCATCCCCGTGCAGTACAGTCTGTCGGCATGGGGGGCACCAGGGATCTGAGCTCGTGACCAGGCGCTCCAGTGGGCGTTGGGATCACACATGGCAGTGCCGGGGATCCTGTGCTGTGCCGGCTCCGCCCCAGGCCTCCCGCAGACCACGCTGGTGTGAGCAGCCCACCACAAACTCCCTGTGACTCTTGTTTTGGTTTTGTCTGTTTGGGGAGGGGAGGGGAGGGGTTCTCCAGCTGTCCTTGAGCCAGGGTAGGGTGAGGGTGGTATCAGGTCCCAGTGACTCTGCTCACTTCTGTGGGCCTCAGTTCTGGTGTCACTACCAGGGCTTGGGACACCAGGGCCACCCCAAAGTGGGCAGCAGGCTGGACCCCGCCTTTGTTATTTGACTTTTTTTTTTCTTTTGGGTCACACCCACTGATGCTCCCAGGGGTTACTTCTGGCTCTGCACTCAGGAGTAACTCCTTTAGTGCTCAGGGGACCATATAGGATGCTGGGAATCGAACCCGAGTCGGCCGCGTGCAAGGCAAACGCCCTACCCGCTGTGCTATCTCTCCAGCTCCCTGTTATTTAGTTTTTGAGCAAGCCCTGGCAGTAATCAGGCTTCACTCCTGGCTCTGCACTCAGGAATTACTCCCAGTGGGCTCTGGGGACCATATGGGGTGCAGGGATCAAACCCGGTCAGCCGTGTGCAAGGTCAACGCCCTCCCCACTGTTCTGTTGCTCCAGCTCCGGGCAGACAGCCTTGAGCCATTGCCCCATGTGACCTATGGACGTCTGTTGAAGAAGAGTCCTTTTATATGGGAAGTGTGGGGGGACGCGCCCTGAGGCGGGATGTGCCTCACTGTCATGCCCCGCATGGGGCTTTGGGGTGCTTGTTACGGGTGCCTACAGAGTCTCTTAGCACAAATTTAGGGGCCGACCCCTTGCACAGCCAGGGGGGACACTTGCCTTGGACACAGCCAACCTGTGTTCGATACCTACCACAAATAGGGCCCCCCCAGCACTGCCAGGAGCACCACCATTTATAGCCCAATATCCAAAAAGAAAGATCCTTCTGGGTGCGGTGAGCCTCAGTTGACGAGAGCCCGGTTTTCGTGCCTGCTTCGCCGCATGCCTGTTGCTGGAACGTTCTGGTTTCCCAGGGACTGTGCCCAGAAAGGAAGCTGGTGCTTCTCAGACAGGGTCTCCGATGTGCTTTCTTGTCTTTGGTTTGGGGGCCATACCTGGCGGAGCCCAGGGCCGACTCCTGACTCTGCGCTCAGATGGGGCTCCAGGGACCGACCATCTGAGAGGTGCCAGGGATCAAAATTAGGTTGGCCAGGTGCAGGGCCAGTGATGTGTGTCAGCCCTGCTCTGAGAGACTGTTCTTCCTGAGATGCCGGCCTTACAGGTGCTCAGGAACCGAGGGGCCCAAGGCTGCCACAGGGCTTGGGCTGGGGGCCTGTATGAAGACATAGTGACCGCCAAGTCTGTCCGGGGGTGGGGCATATTTTGTTTGGGACCCCCGGGCCCAGTGGACCAGCTCCCCCCCCCCCCACACACACACACATAAGACAGGTGCCAAATGTGTAGGACGCTGGGGCAGGGGGGGTGCCTGGGATATGCTGGTCTGACCCCATGTGCATTCTCACACACACACACACACACACACACACACAGAGGACAGGTGTCAAGTGTGTAGGACTCTGGAGCGGGGGGGGCCTAAGGCAGGTGATGCCGGGTCTGACCCCATGTGCACTTCCTCCTCAGGATCTTCATTATCTGGGCCATCAGCAGCTGGTTCCGCCGAGGGCCGGCCCCTCAGGACCAGGCAGGCCCCGGAGGAGCCACGCGTGTCGCCAGCCGGAACCTGTTCCCCAAAGACACTTTAATGGTAACGGGGGCTGGGAGGGGCTAGACCGGCGCCCTGACACCTGTCTGTACACAGGTCCCCAAGGAGGTACTAGGGGTCCTTCCTGGGCCCTGAACCCCACGTGCCCAGCTTGACTCCCAGGGGAAGCCAGGCCTGTGTGTATTTGGGGACTGGGGTAAGGCCATGCAGCTCAGCTCTGGAGTACTAGCCTCGCGTGTGCCCTGCAGCATACACAACATTGATTCTGTTGTTGGTTTTGTCTGCTGGGTTGTACCTGGCAGTGCTCAGGGATTCCTCCTGGCGGGGCTTGGGGAACCCTCAGTGGTGCTGGGGATTGAACCTGGGTCTGTTGCATACAAGGCAGGCGCCCTCCCCGCTGTGCTGTAGCTCAGGTCCCTGACTGCGTAAATTGAGGAACAACTCTCAGGGGCATTTCGGGGCTTTCATAGCAGGAGATGGGACACAGTGGGAAGGGCACTTGCCTGGCACACGGTTCACCCGGTTCTATCCCCAACACCCCATGTGGTTCCCTGAGCCCTGCGAGGAGTCCGCCCTAAGCACCATTGGGTGTTCTCCAAAAGGCTGCGTGCGGGGGCACGAGCGGGGAGTCGGTGAGTACCCGGGCTGCGATCTGACCCCGGGCACCGGCCTCTTCCTTGGCAGCGTCCAGCTCTGGGAGTTCCAGGACATCACTGTGACCTGTTCCATGTCAGGGCTGCAGGGACATGTGATAGGGCAGTTCTCTTAGACTCCCAGCATGGCCGCTCTTGCCCTTCTGTGCCGCCCCTGGTTTACCCGGGTGCCTGCCCAGGGAGGAGAGAGCAGCTGCCCGCAGCCCTCACCCCACATCGCATCCCTCATCCTGCATCCCACCCCCGCCCCCTGCAGGGACCGCAAGCCAGCTCTCCTTCCCTCGTGTTGGCTGGGGTGGGTGCTGGGAGAGGGGCTCACATGGCTGCGTGCTGGACCCTGACGCCGCCCCCGCCCCCCAGAACCTGCACGTGTACATCTCCGAGCACGAGCACTTCACAGACTTCAACGCCACGTCAGCGCTGTTCTGGGAGCAGCAGGACCTGGTGTACGGGGACTGGACAAGCGGTGAGCATGCCGACGGCTGCTATGAGCACTTCGCCGAGCTCGACATACCGCAGGTGGGCATGGGCACCCTGGTGGGGGTCAGGGTGCTCCTGGTGCAGCACCCTCGGTCTGTGGGTTGGGGTGGCATGGAGCAGCCTCCTTCACCCCCTCATGCCCGGACAGCCCCGAGGGTGACTCTAGCATGTGCTGGATTGGGAGCAAGTTTCGGTCATTTCACATTTTGAAACTTCCTTTTTTTTCTTTTAGTTATTCTGGTTTTGGGGCCACACCACGCCTGGCAGGGCTCAGGGCTGACTCCTGGCTCTGTGCTCAGGCATCACTCCTGGAGGAGTGCTGGGCTCGACTCTGGGTTGCCCGTAAGGCAGGTGCCTTGCCCGCTGTGTTGTCTCTCCCGAAACCTCCGCTCTGGCTAATGTTTTGCATCCCCACATCAGTCACATGACCAGCGTGGGGTGGTGATGCCCTCGTAGCAACTGGGACATGGGGCCAGGGAGACCTGTAAAGGGCATTGCCCCTAGGTATCCTGAGTTCTGTCTCAGGCACCAACCACTGCAGACCCCCAGGACCACTGGGGATGCCCTTGTCCCCCCACTCCCCACGGCAGCGAGCCGGAAGTAGCCCCTGGGCACCGCCTGGAAGCCAAAGGCCAGCAGCTTGAACTGGATGTGGGGCACTCGGGGTGCGCTGGAGTTGCCCTGGCAAGGGCACGGGCTGTTGGAGGGCAGCACTTGCGGGCAGACCTGCCCGGCTTCTGAGAGGATGGTCTCCCACCTGCTCTAGCCCGCGGTCGTCTAAGACCATTTCTGGCCTGATCTGTTCTAGCCACAAGGCACCCAGAAGGGTGGGCCGGGGTGACTGGGTGACAGGCAGGGTCAGGGATTAATGTGGCCGTCCCTGGAACTGTCTGCGGTGCAGGCGGTGTTCCGGTTTGCCCCCTCCAAAGTGAGTGACAGGGGAGCAGAGGGGAGGGTGCAGCTGGACACGGTCCAGCTGGATCAGCCCCATGCGGAGCTCTTGGATGGCCCCCACCTCCTTCCTGGATCATCACCCCTGCCAAAGCCCCTCCCCTCCAGTCTTGCCCCAGAACCCTGCTCAGGGGTCGGGTGGGAGGGGTGTGTGGGGGGCGTGTCTCTGCAGGTGGGGGGCCGGGAACCGGGAGCATGTGGGTGGGGTGTAGGGGTGGGGAGAGAGGGGGGCATGGGGGAGGGCATCTCCGGGGCTCAGCGTTCACCGCGCCCACAGAGCGTGCAGCAGAACGGCTCCATCTACATCCATGCCTACTTCACCAAGAGCGGCTTCCACCCAGACCCCCGACAGAAGGCGTTGTACCGCCGGCTGGCCACGGTGCACACGTCCCGGAGTGAGTCCTGCGAGGGGACCCCTGGGGTGGGCGCCAGTGGGTTTGGGGGCACCTGACTGTACTCTGACCCGTCTCCTCCTCCGGAGCATTGCCAACTGCCCGGAAGTGGGTCCAGTCCCCCTCTCGTCGCAGGCTTGCTCTCAGGAGGTCTGGGGGGAGCAGCCTTGCAAGTCTGAGAACGCAGCAGTGCTCAGGGGACCCAAATGGGGCTGGCTTTGTGCAGGACGAGTGCCTTTCCCCTCCCTGTCCTGTCTCTTCAGCCCTTCAGAGTGAATCTCCCATCGCTCCTGCGGAGTTCATGATCCAAATAAACGTTTCTTTTCATTCAACACCCTGCCCGCCACTTCCTGGTCCCCCCCCCCCCAACCTGGGGCTTTCCAGGTGCCAGGAGCTGCTGAACTGTCCCCCACACACACAGCCCCTTGCCTGCACAGGCAGCTTCCTGGAAGCCCCCCAAGGTGCTGTGCCACCTGCCCCCAGTCCCCTCAAGATGTCCTGCAATTTCTTTTTTTTTCTTTTTTCTTTTTGGGTCACACCCAGCGATGCTCAGGGGTTACTCCTGGCTCTGCTCTCAGGAATTACTCCTGGCGGTGCTTGGGGGACCATATGGATACCAGGGATTGAACCCAGGTCAGTCGCGTGCAAGGCGACCACCCTACCTGTTGTGCTGTTACTCAGGCTCGATGCCCTGCAATTTCTGACCTTTGACCCTGGAGGAAGAGCACCCTCCCCCAGGGGGGTTCAGTGGCTGATTTGGAGGTGATGATGGCTTCACCCCAAATGAAATGGGGCTTGTTGCTACTTTTCCTCTCCACCCATCTTCTTGTGAGGGGTTTGGTGGGGGGAGGTCCAGGTCCACATCTCTCATGCTCGTCCTGCAGTGGGCCTGGAGCCTCCTCCCAGGAGGCCTCCTGTGCCTTCCACCCACTCATTCTCCCCTGAGGACCACCGTGGTCTGGTGGAGCTCCCCAGCTCCCTGCCACCCGCCACTCTAATGGCGAGGCATGGACTGTGCTGGGCTTAGGGCTCTCTCTGCTTCTCCTATAAAAAAAAAAGATCTTAGGGGCTGGAGCGATAGCACAGCAGGTAGGGCATTTGCCTTGCACGTGGCTGACCTGGGTTCGATTCCCAGCATCCCATATGGTCCCCCGATCACTGCCAGGAGTAATTCCTGAGTGCAGAGCCAGGAGTAATCCCTGTGCATCGCCAGGTATGACTCCCCCCAAAAAAAGCAAAAAAAAAAATTGTGTATATATATGTATATATGTATGTATGTGTATGTATATATGTGTATATATATGTGTGTATATATATCCTAAAAGGTCTCCAAAGGGCTTCGGGCACTTGCCTTTTCTACTGCCAACCCTGGTTCCGGTCAAGCACCACTGGGTGTGGCGCAGATCCCTCCCGCAATCCCCCAGTTATGGAGAATGGGGCTGGGAGGCTCTGTGGCAGCTTTGCATGTATTGAGACCCCAGGTTCCATCTCTGCACCGCAAAAATAGACAAACCAGGAGCCAGAGTGATAGTACCATGTAACTTGTGGCTCTACCTGGTTCTATCCCCGGGACCCCGTATGGTCCCCCAAGCCTGCCAGGAGTGATCCGAGCACTGCCAGCTGTGGCCTCAAACCAAAACCAAACACACAAACCAAAAATACAACATGAAATTAACACACGTGATCATTTTATTGAGCTCAGCATCTTGTTGCCGCAGACAATCACAACTGAAAAAATGAGTTTCAGAGCCAGAGCCGTAGTACAGCATTGCCTTGCATGCAGCTGACCTGGGTTTGCGGCTCCCCATGATTCCTTAAACCTTACCAGGAATGAGCCCTAAAGCACAGCCAGTACTAGTCCCTGTGCACCAGTGGGTGTAGCCCCAGCTGTGCGGGCCCCTGGTGCTGGCCGGGCTCTCGGGAGCAGCCACTTCCGAGACCTTGCTGAGAATGGGGCCTTTAACAACCCCCCCCCACACACACACAGGGATATAGGGTCCGGGGTTGGCTCCTTTGCCCTGACAGGGACAGCACCCCAAAACCTCTGCTCCTTTTTATGTTGTTTTGGGGTCTTGCCCTGACAGGGACAGCACCCCAAAACCTCTGCTCCTTTTTATGTTGTTTTGGGGTCATACCCAGCAGTGCGCAGGGTTCTGGGTATGACCTGTGGCCCCCCTTCCCCCTCCCCAGCCACAGGGAGTGTAGTAAAGAGTGGGGGGCTCTGAGGACAGGGATGCTCAGGGCTGAAGAGGCGTGGGCCTCCCTGGCCCATGGCAGGCACTTGTTTGTGCTGCGGATTTGGGGAGCAGCGGTGGGGTGGGGCCAAGGGGAACCACCTGGCCGACACTTGATTCAGAGCAGCATTTTTGATGGGGGTGCAGGACCAACCCTTGGGGACACTGGGACATGGGGTGGGTGGTAACAGAGCGGGGGCACACTTGGGGGTCATCTTGTATTTACTTAAAGAAGGCCCGTTTCTGGGAGACAGTGGTTTTTATTTTATTTTGGTCTGGAAAGGGGTCAACAGCCCAAATAGGTGTGGGGACCTGCGACTTCCCCAGAGAGAAGATCCGGGGCCACTGGGAGTGAGGGGTTGTGGGGGTTTGCACTGGCCGAGGGGAGGCAGGGGAGCCAGCTGCTGGTCTCCCGCACTCTGTGTGGCTGCAGGCCGGGTTGTTCTCTGGCGACCCCTTTTGGCACTTAGGTGGAGCAGAGGCAGGCGGCCGGTGGCTGAGTGAGCTTCTGACGGTAGGCTGAGTTCTGGGGGTCTCAGGTCTTCCTTGCCACCCTCCCCCACAGTGATCAACAAATACAAACGCCGACGGTTCCAGAAAACCAAGAACCTGCTCACGGGTGAGACTGAGGCCGACCCAGAAATGATAAAGGTGACCCGAGCACACTGGACACTTGTGTTGCCTGCCTGCCTGTGCCAGGGCCCCAGGGGTCCAGGGTGGGGTGGGGGTTACAGCTGCTATGGGGGACTGCTGGGGCCTGGGGGAGCAAGCGGGTGGGGCCTTGAGTCCACCTCTTCCTGTGACCCTGCAGAGGGCCGAGGACTATGGCCCCGTGGAAGTGATCTCCCACTGGCACCCCAATATCACCATCAACATCGTGGACGACCACACGCCCTGGGTGAAGGGCAGCGTGCCTCCACCCCTGGACCAGTGTGAGTCCTTCCCCCCACACGCACCCCTGTTCTCCCCAATGGACCAGCCACCCACAGTCCAGGCTGCTCTGGGGCCAAGCCGGGGTGGGGGGGCACGGCTCAAGGGCCTGAGCACAGGCCTTGCACCCAGAACTGGAGCCCAGACACCTGCTGTGGTTTGGGGGGTGGCCGACACCATGCTGGGAATAGCCCCCAAACCAAACTGACAACCCCTCCGTCAGTTGCCAACTTTGGAAGTTGGGGTGGCACTCCCCAACTCCCCAGAACCCCCAGCTCTGGCTTCTCTCCCGAAACCCGGGTCCAGGGCGCCTGCGGTGGGGGGTTGTCTCGCGGGCCCCTTTGGCCTGCCTGGCAGACGTCCGTCAGTGGGGCCCCATCGGGTCCCTGCAGACGCGTGACGTGGCCGCCCGCCTGCAGACGTGAAGTTCGACGCGGTGAGCGGCGACTACTACCCCATCATCTACTTCAACGACTACTGGAACCTGCAGAAGGATTACTTCCCCATCAACGAGAGCCTGGCGCGCCTGCCGCTGCGCGTGTCCTTCTGCCCGCTCTCGCTGTGGCGCTGGCAGCTCTACGCTGCGCAGAGCACCCGTTCGCCTTGGAACTTCCTGGGGGATGAGCTGTACGAGCAGTCGGACGAGGAGCAGGACTCGGTGAAGGTGCGGCGGGAAGGGGAAGTGGGAGCAGGGCTGGGACCCCTCCCGCGACCGCAGGAAGCCGCCTGCCCGCCCCGTCTCGCTCACTGCCGCACCCCCGCCAGCCTCACACCTTCGTGACCTTCTCCCTCCTCCCCCCGCCCCATCCCAGCATCTCCCTCACCCTGCCTGGGCTGGAGCTGGGTTTCTGTTCCTTGCCTTTGTCTGTCTTGTCTGCCCCCTCCGCCTTCCTCTCTCCAACCCGCCCCCTCTCCTGCCCCATGCTCGGGGCCTCCAGGGCAGCTGTGGCTGACTCTGGGCTCATGGCTGCACCCCCTTAGGTGGCCCTCCTGGAGACCAACCCCTACCTGCTGGCGCTCACCATCGTGGTGTCCATTGTCCATAGTATCTTCGAGTTCCTGGCCTTCAAGAATGGTAGGACCAGCGAGCCCTCCCCTACCTGGGTCTCTGCTCCCCTACCTGCTGCCCAGCCCCTTCCAGAGATGGAGAAACTCCCGGCCCAGAAACTCCCGGCCTCAGGGTGGGGCGGGGGCGGGGCAGTGACCAGCCACGGAGAGGGGAACTCCAAGGCCTCCTGGAGCTGGGAGCAGGGAAGCCCCCAGGCTGCCCCAGGACCCTGCCTGCCACTGCCCTGGTCACACCCCTGTTTCTGAAGCTCAGCTCTGCTGGGGTTGGGAGCCTGGCCAGTCCTGTGTCTCAGAGGAGCTCAAGGCCATCTGTCCAGTGGGGACCCTCCGCCCCCACCAAGGGATGGATCTTGGCAGCGGAGCTGGGGATGGATCTTGCCTCCCCGATGGATCTTGGCAGCGGAGCTGGGGCCCTGTGGCACCTCTCATCCTCCACACACACCCCCAGCCCCTGGCCTGGCCACAGAGAGAGGTGTTCCTGGTTGCACTGCACCCAGGCCGCGTCCCCAAAGGAGGGCAGCGTCCAAGCATTGTCCAGGGGGCTGGGAGCAGGCTGGGCTCTGCGCAGTTCCTGAGCACCGCCAGGCCGAGTACTTCCGGGAGCACTGCTTAAGAGAGAGAGACTGAGGGGTTCAGCAGTGCTGGTCTTGGCAGGGAGGGTGCCCAGGCCCTGGCATGACAGAAAAGAGCAATGAGAGGCATTACCCACTCAACAGCACACAGTGGGGTCCACCCCAGGGCCTGCCAGCAGAGTGTGTGTGTGTGTGTGTGTGTGTGTGTGTGTGTGTGTGTGTGTGTGACTCCTGGGGCTGTGAGTACAGTGTACATGGTCTGTTCTCCCCTCACCCCTCCACACACACACACACACACACACACACACACACACACACACCCCACCCCTAGACAGTCTAGCCTGACTCCTGGGGCTGTGTGTACACGGTCTGTTTCCCTTTACACATACACATGTATGTACCATGTATGCATACACACAGCCATTAAGTGTGCCTGAGAGGAACCAGGCTCTCCTCCATGCAGCGCTTGTGCCCACCCTGCACCCACCCTGCCGGACCATCTCTCCAGACCCTCCAGACAGACTCATTTCCCCCACTCGGGACTGGTAGCTTCAGTGATTGTCCGGGAAAGTCTCCAGACCTGAGGGTGGGGCAGGAAGCCTGTCCTGTGTGCTGGGGCTCAGGAAAGGGGATTAGGGTAGCCAGAGGGTTACCGGACCGGACCCCAGCCCTGCTCACTGCCTGTGTCCAGCTGGTTCAGGGGTCCTTAGGGTCCCATTCTGCCCGCAGGGCCACCAGTCAGGTATGCGCCCTTCAGGTCAGGTGTAGGGAGCCTTCAAGGGGGCCGGGCTGGATGTGGAGCTGGACCTTCGCTCTGCCTGACTGGGGAGGGCCCAGGCCCACCACCCAGGTTGCTGCTGTGCCCCTGGTGGACAGTGGGGACCCCTCGAAGTTGGGTCGCAAATCCCCGGGCTCCCTCCCGCCCACAGACATCCAGTTCTGGAACAGCCGGCAGTCGCTGGAGGGCCTCTCCGTGCGCTCTGTCTTCTTCGGCGTTTTCCAGTCCTTCGTGGTCCTGCTGTACATCCTGGACAACGAGACCAACTTTGTGGTCCAGGTCAGCGTCTTCATCGGGGTCCTCATCGACCTCTGGAAGATCACCAAGGTTATGGATGTCCGGGTAAGGTGCCGCTGCCCCACATGTCCAGAGACCCCCAGGGGCTGGGAAGGGGCCCTGGAGTAGCCCTGGGGGTTCCCGGCGCAAGCCACACTCCCTGGACCAAGGGGGTTTTCGCACCAGGGGATTTCTGGGTCCCACGTGGGGCAGGGGAACTGGGAAGGGCAGACGCTGGGGGCCACTGACCACGGCCTGTCCCCATGGCCGCAGCTGGACCCAGAGCACAAGGTGGCAGGTCTGTTCCCCCGGCCGACCTTCAAGGACAAGTCCACGTACATCGAGTCCTCAACCAAAGTGTACGACGACGTGAGTGTCCCGTGGGCCCTGCTTTATGGCCTGGGTCACGCCCTGCCCCGTCCCCCCCCACCTGCCAGTCGGTTTCCTGCTGAATCCAGAGAAGTCTGGAAATCCCCGCGGACCGGTCTGCCGGGTTGGGGGTGCGGGGACGGGATGGGCGAGGCGTGGGGGAGGGGGGAGCCAGGCTGGGGGAGTGCCGGGCAGAGGCCTGAGGTCCCCGCCGTGTCCCCAGATGGCGTTCCGGTACCTGTCCTGGATCCTCTTCCCGCTGCTGGGCTGCTACGCCGTGTACAGCCTCCTGTACCTGGAGCACAAGGGCTGGTACTCGTGGGTGCTCAGCATGCTCTACGGCTTCCTGCTGACTTTTGGTGAGGCCTGAGGGCGGCCTGGACACTGCCCGGGGCGGAGCGGGGGTTTCCGAGCATGGATGTGGGGTCAGGACGCGGCCGCCCCTCACAGCCACCCCTCCCCGCCCCAGGCTTCATCACCATGACGCCCCAGCTCTTCATCAACTACAAGCTCAAGTCCGTGGCCCACCTGCCCTGGCGCATGCTCACCTACAAGGCCCTCAACACCTTCATCGACGACCTCTTCGCCTTTGTCATCAAGATGCCCGTCATGTACCGGATCGGCTGCCTGCGTGATGGTGAGGCCGGGCGGGGCGCGGTGGAGGGGTGCGCCCCAGCCGGTCCCGGCCCCCCTCCCCCTCACCTGGCGCCCCTGCGTGCCCCTCCCCCTCCAGACGTCGTCTTCTTCATCTACCTCTACCAACGGTGGATCTACCGCGTGGACCCCACGCGTGTCAATGAGTTTGGTGTGAGCGGAGAGGTCGCCTCGCCCCCCGCCGCCTCCGTCAGAGAGGACAGCCCCGCGCCCCTGCCCGCCAAGCCCACCGCTGCGCCCCAGGAAGCCCCTCCAAAGCCAGCAGAGGACAAGAAAAGGGATTAGCCACTCTGGTCCCCTCACCTGCGACTGGTGTCTCGGCCCCACCTCCCCCCTTGTTGCCCCCTCCCTGGACAGATGGGCCGGGTGGGTGGCAGGAGGTGCCCCCCCTACTACCCGGGGCCGGGCGGGCCGCTGTGTGATGCAGGGGCCGCGCCTTTTATGGGGGGAGTCTCCGGCCTGCTGTCTGCTCCCTGGAAGATGAGGAGTCACGGGAGGCCGGCAGGGGAGGGGCCGGGCCCCTCTCTGGGGTGCCCAGGGCCCCCCAGCATCTCATCCCACATCCCCTGACCACCCCTCCTCCCAGACCACCACCCTGTCACCGTCTGGATTTAATAAATTCATATGGGTGTTTACCTGGAACCCCGCCACCCTGCGGCCTGCCTTCCTCCCCGCAGGACCTTGAGCCGTCCAGAGGCACCCGCTCCCGACACCCCAGTTTGGGGCCTCCTCTGTCACTCACCCTGGGAGTCCCAGCCTTGCTGTCAGCCAGGCATGGGGGCAGCTTGACCACCTGGAGAGCAGATGCCCAGAGCAGTCCAGCTCCAGCCTGGGCCAGTGGCCCCACATCTGCACCTCGGATTCTCTGGGAACCCCTCCAAGCCCCTCAGAGGGCCCAGCTGTGGCTGCCCCTGGCTACGGGGGGCCATCGGCATCCTCAGGCTCCTCAGGCTCCCACTGGCTCAGCCGCCAGCCTGCCATGCAGCCTCAGCAGGAAGGCTCCCCGGGAGGAGGGGGGGTCTTGTGACGAGGTGCCCCTCGAAAGCCCGGCCCCACATCCCAACCACCTGCCAGCAGGGCTTGTGATGACCCATGGGGACACCCGGTGACCTTGGCTCATCCCATGGGTCCACACCCCGCCCTTTGGCAGCAGCCCCCTCCCCCCCCAACATACCCCACAGCCACTTGGGAGCCTCACGCCCTCGCTCACAAGAGCCCAGCTAACCCGGCCTCTCCTGTGCTGTCCACCGCACCTTCGTAGCACAGTCCTCCTCTGCTTGCTGAGACACGCCCATGACCCCCTCTCAGTTCTCTCGGGAGACCAGTGCATGCTCTGAACGGTGTGAGCTCTCAAGAAGGATCTTGGAGGGTTCCCCTCCCCCTCCCCCTGCCAGAACTCGCCGTCTTGTCCTTCCTGGCTCTGGTCCATGCTGTCTGCATCGGGCACGTGTTCCCAGACTGACTTCTGAGCTTAACCTGGACCATCCTGCGCCTCCCTCCCATGCCAGTATCACCGCCTCCAGGAAGCCTGCTCAGGTGCCTTGCTCTGTCCCAGGCCTCTAGGGTTCCTGCCCTTGCATGGAGGCCTGAGAGCCCTGCTTCGTGCCATGCTGTGGGCAGAGGGCAAACAGTGCAGAGGGATTTGCTCAACCCTGTGTTTCACTTTAGGCACCTGAGAGCCAGCAGTGTCCATGGCCAGACTCCTCTGGGACAGACAGCTGGCCACGGGCAGGAATTCGCTAAGCCCTTCCCCTGGTCAGACCCCTGTGCCAGGGCTCCTGTGGGCATCAGGGGGGCCTGGCACTGGGGGTCTTGGAGTCCCACAGAAACCCTCTGGCATGACCTGTCAGTTTATTGCCCCCTGGGGCCAGAGTCATAGTACAGTGGGGAGGGTGTTTGCCTTGCAGGCGACTGATACAGGTTCAGTTCCCAGCATCACATATGGTCCCCTGAGCACCTCCAGGAGGAACCCCTGGGCATCAATGGGTGTGACCCAAAAGGCAAAAAAAAGAAAAGCCAGTTTGTCACCCCCCGTCTAGGGGCTGCATCCATCTGACTGAGTAGCCCTCAGTGTATCCAGCACCTTAGAAGCCCCTATGCTGCCATCCTCTCCCTCCTCTCCTGTTGGTCTCCAGCCTCCTTTCTGTCCCTCAGACCTCTGGCTTGCCTCACCTCAGCACCTTTTACCTCTGCTTCCCTGCTCCTGCACACCAGGCCCCTGGAGTAACTCACTCTGAGGCTCCTTCCTTCTCAAATGTGGTCAGCCTCAAGTCTTTAAAAAGAATAAAAAAAGTAGAGGAATAGTACAGCAGGTAAGGCACTTACCTTGCACACAGATGACCTAGATTCAATCCCTGGCACCCCATAGGGTCCCTTGAGCACCACCAGGAGTGACCCCTGAGTGCAGAGTTGGGAGTAACTCTCAGCACTGCTGGGTGTGGCCCAAAAAACAAAATTTTAAAAATAATATTCACTTTCAGGCTCAGAGTACTTTTTTTGTTTTGTTTTATCTATTATTTTATTTTGTTGTTTTTTACATTTTTTTTTACAAAATGTTCACGATTAGATTTCAGTCATACAGTGTTCCACACCCATCCCTCCATCAGTGTACATTTCCCAGTACCAGTGTCCCCAGGTTTCCACCCCCATCCCACCCTGACTGCCTCTATGGCAGGCGCTTCTCTCCTCTTCAGAGAGTACTTTTCAAGTGGGACCCAAGTTCTGCTTTATTTTGTACCACCAGGGTGTGTTGGTGTGTGATTTGGGCTACACCCAGGTGCTCCCGGGACCATGCGTTGCCAAGGATGGGACCCTGGTCTCCTGCATGCAAAGCCTTGCACAGCTGACTAAACTGTCTTCTACATATTTTTTCTTTCCTTGGATTAGTTCCACAGTGGCAGGGGCTCTGGGACTGTCCCCCCACCCCACCCCCAGCTAATGGCGCAGTGCCCCACCCGGTGACCCTGCGTGAAATAGAACCACCAGAGTGGAGGAGAGAACATGGAGCAACCCCAAAGCAAAGTGGTTCCTCATTGCGCTGGATACATGTGTCACCTTTGGTTGGTGTTTATTTCATCCTCATAACTATGTGTTCTCAGAGGGTAGGGCCTTGCACATGGCCAACCCAGGTTCAATTCCCAGCATCCCATATATATGGTCCCCTGAGCACCACAAGGAGTAATTCCTGAGTACATGAGCCAGGAGTAACCCCTGAGCACCACCGGGTATAACCTAAAAAGCAAAAAATAAAATAAAAATAAACTGTGTTACTAGATCACGTGCAGAGGAGGGAGTGGGTTCAGGTGAGGGCCAGGCTGAGGCTGCACAGCTACTGGGCGGCTAGTTGACAGTTTAAATTCAGAGGGTCAGATCCAGGCCATCACTTATCATTTGTCACAATGCTCTTCATTTTTCTAATTAAAGTTTTGTGGGTGTTTTAATTTGGGGAGTAGGACGGTTTGGGCCACACCCGGTGGTGCTCAGGGCTTGCCTGATCCATGTTTTTGCCCTCAATGATCATTCCTGGCAGGTTTGGAGAATGCTATGAGGTGCCAGGGATTGAACCTGGCTCAGATGTGTGCAAGGCAAACGTCCTACCCACTGCCCCCAAAACAGAGTGTTTCAATTTAGATTTTAGAGAAATTTTGATGTGAGAGAGGAAAAAGAGAAAGAGGTGTTCAAGAGATGGAAAAAAGAGATGGAAAAAAGCTTGTGGTTTTTAACATTTATTTGATTTGGGGGCCATACCCAGCAGTGCTCGGGGGTTTCTCCTGCCTTTGTGCTCAGGAATTAACTCCAGTGGTGCTGTTTTTTTTCTTTTTTCTTTTTGGGTCACACCCGGCAATGCACAGGGGTCACTCCTGGCTTTGTACTCAGGAACTACCCCTGGCGGTGCTCGGGGGATCGTACGGGATGCTGGGAATCGAACGTGGGTCGGCTGCGTGCAAGGCAAACACCCTAACCTCTTTGCTATTGCTCCACCCTCCTCCAGTGGTACTCTGGAGACCATAATGGATGCCCGGATTCAAACCCAGGTTGTCCATATGCAAGGCAAGTGCCCTCCTACTGTGCTATTGCTCCAGCCCTGAGTCATTTTATATTTTAAGTGGCTTATAAAACATCTCCAGGGCTGGGGAGAGATAGTGCAGGGTGAAAGACAGCTTGCGTGCAGCTGACCTCACCTCCAGCCCCCCCACCAGATGGTTCCCCCCCGGCCCATACCACCAGGAATCACTTCTGAGCCAGAACTAACTTCTGAGCACTAGCTAGGGCCCAAAAAACCCTCCAAAGTTTAAAAAAAAAAACTTCAAAGCTTCGTGTTAGGTGAAAAATTAAAAATTTCACTTTCTTGGAACAAGAGCATGTTCATCACGAAGTGTCTGTCCCTGTTCCTGGCTGCTTTTCCGGCCAGCCAGATGTCTAGCTGGTCTCAAAACCTGCTGTCTCCCACCTTGTTTCTGGCCACTGCAAAAACAGCTGAATCTGTGGCCAGAGTCACAGCAGTTCTCCACCTTGATCTGATGCCACATCCCCCAGGGCTGGGGACACAGCATCAAGTCGTGTTCCACCCCATTCTGCCTTTCAGGAGCAGGTACTGAGACTGGCGAGTGGATGCTGGGCCTTTACATCTGTATCAAACACTTAGTATCCGCGGCGATTAAATGTATGTAAAGAATCTGCAGTAAAGGGACCAGAGGGGAAGTACAGCGGGGAGGCATTTGCCTTACATGCTGCCAACCCGGGTTCAATCTCCCGGGTATTCCATATGGTCCCCTGAGTACTGCAAGGTGTAATAACTGAGCAGAGAGCCAGGGGTAACCCCTAAACATCGCCGGGTGTGGCCCAAAAATAAGAAAGAGAAGCATTCACCTGGCACAGGGACAGGGGCAAGCAGGATGCCAAACCTCTCAGGGTGCAAGTGGGAGACCCTGGAAGAATGCAAGTAGGAACCTACCAAAGATCGGGTCATTCACAGGGACGGGAGAGGCTTAGCCAGCAATGCCATCTAGCTCAGTAAACTGCCCCTCAGCCTTGTCCTCCCTCCATCCTGCGCCTGGGGTGCTAGTGCAAGGGGTGAGGTCTCTATTCTCCATCCTCCCGGAGGCTGCCAGCTGACCCCCGAGCAGAGTTAAGGAACCTCCCACTGGAAAGTGCTTACCACACTAAGAGTCATGTAGGGCCTGTCAGTGAGCACTGACTGTACACGTTCTAGGCTCTCTCTCGCACGCAGCAAAAATATCCTAGCGCTGACATCCAGGTTGTAGAAAACCAGTATCTTCCCTCCCAATTTACAGCTGAAGAAACTGAGGCAGAGAGCCACACCCAACGGTGCTCAGGCGCCCATGAAGTGGCGGGGCTCGACCCGGGGGCCCCACCTGCAAAGCCTGCGCGCCGGCTCTTGGAGCCTGCTCCCTGGCCCGGTTTCTTAAACAAGATTTTGAAGAGCAGCCTGTTCCCTGGCACAGAAGTTTCTTAAACAAGATTTTGAAGAGCAGCCCCAGAGCAACGTCCATCTCCCGATTCCGAGGCGTCCCTTCCAGAGTATTCTGCGGGTTCAAGTCCCGCTGGCACACCGCGGCGAAGAGTGGCGGGCCTCAGTTTCCCGACTCGCTCCGCGGAGAAGGCCGTGAGTGACCCAAGCAGGCCTCGGCGGCCTCAGCCGGGCTAAGGGACACAGGGGGCAGCAGCCCCGGCCCGCCCCTCCCGGGCACCCGGCCTCCTCTTCCCGGCCGGCCCCGCCCCCACGCCCACGTGACAAGCGGGGGTTTTCCCGTTCCCCTCGCGTGACGTCACGGCGGGGCGCGGGCCAATGGGCGCGCAGGCCGGCGGCGCCGGGGAATTCCGCCGCCCCGCCCCCACCCGCCCGGCCCAGCCCGGCCTGCGGCCCCAGCCCTTGTGCCGTCCGCTTGTCCCGCGGCCGTCCTCCCGGCTGTGCCGTCTGGCGTCCGCCCAGCCCGCGTGTGTTTTGGTCTGGGCTGGCCACCGGGCCGTCCGTCCCGCTGGCCTGGCCATGCCTAGTCGCCGCGTCGGCAGCTCGTCCGCTGCGCCAGAGCTGGGGACCTTGGGTAAGGCGGGGACGGGGCACGGGAGGGGAGTCTGGCGCGGATCAGGAGATGCAGGGTCTCTTGGGGGTCCCGGAGTCATCAGGGGGCTCTTGCAGGACTCTGTGGCCTTCCCGGGGAGAGTGTGCGACTTGCGGGGGTACACAGTATTGAAAGGAAGGAAGGAGATATTGAAAGGAAGGAAGGATGGTGACCTGGGCCGGCCCTAGAAACGGAGAGGCGTCGGACGGGAGAGTGAGAAGGGGGCGGGGCCTCCCCTGAGGCAGACAAGGGGCGGGGCCACGACCGGAGCAGGCGGGGCCGGAACAGACCTAGAGGCGGGGCCATGCTCAGTGGGGCGGGGCAAGGCGCTGGGGGCGGGACCTGTGGCAAGAAAGAGGCGGGCATGGCCTTGCCGGATAGAGGGAGGGGTCTAGATACGAAAAAGAAAAGGTGGTCCTATAGAGAACGGGAGGCGGGGCCTAGGAGAAGGGCGGGCCGATGTAGCGAGGGATGATTGGACGAGAAGCGGGGCTGGGGAGAGGGGCGGGGCCATGAGAGAGGGATGAAAGGGGCCGAGCCAGAGGAAGAGCAACGAATGCAAGGGGCGGGGCCCGAGGATAGGGGCGGTGCTTCGTATAGGGGCGTGGCCAGATGGAGAGGTGGGTGGGTGAGGGACAAGGAGTGGGGCCTGACTCAGAAGGAAGAAGGGGTGAGCCTTGTCTGGGGAGAGGGCGCAGTGTCTGACTCCCTGAGGCAGACGGGGATGGGCTTTGACACTGCAGAAGTGCAGGTGCAGGATCTGGCCCTCAAAGAAGACAGGGAGGAGGTGGGGACTTTCATCATTGGGACTGCCTAGCCTCTTAGGGACGGGAATCGGGGAGCAAAGCCTGGGCGTGAGGAAGTATGGGGTGGACGCCAGAACCCGGGAATCCGCCCTAGGGACCTGCCCCAGGGAGCGCCAGGAACTAGGGAACCAGCTTGGGAAGGAAGCGAGGCCAGACTCTGCTGGGTGAGGAGCCAGGGTGGACCAGGATTCGGCTTGGGAGATCCCCAAAACCCCTCTCTCCACAGGCTCCCAGGACTTCTCGCACTCGCTGCGTGTTTCCAGGACAGGTGAGACCCCACAGCTCCTGCCACCTGCCCGCTGAGGACGGCTTGGGCGGGAGGGAAACCCCCAGGAAGTAGAGTTGAGGCTTATTCCAGGTCCACCCCCAGCTTTTCTCTGTAGGACTGTGCCCCGTCCTACAATTGAGATTGGGTCACCCAAAAATGGGGGTTCCTTCTCCCGACCCCCATTAGGACAGGTAGAACTAACCACCTCTTAGACTCAAATAAGAGTCCCCTTTAGAGATCCACCAGGATTTTAGATTCTGATGTTTGCATTCTAGTGCCACCACCCTCTCATTATGTGAACATCTCGTTCCCTCTCGTGGGCCTTGGTTTTCCTCTTCTGTAAAATGGACATAATGTGAGTGGGAGAATTCATTGAGCTGCGTATGACAGGTGCGATAAGTTTTGACTACTAGTGCGATCATGGTTATGAACAATCTCATTTTATTATTAGACTGATACAGGGGTTCTTAAACTCTTGTGTGCCATAGTGCTAAAAGAGATTGGTGGGGCTGTGAATGTGGTTCACTGGCAGAGAAGAGGTCATGCCTGTGTGAGGCCCTGGGTTCCATCCCTGGCACTCTCCCCTCCCCATCCCTATTTGATTATATTGGGGCTGGACAACTAGCTTCATGGGCTGGAGTGCATGCTTTGCATGCAGGGGCTGAGGTATAATTCTATTGCTACACAAAGGTCCCCAAGCCCCACCAGGAGTACCCCTGAGCACCTAACTGGGAGTAGCCTCAGACACTGCCAGATTTCACCCAGAAACAATTTTTTGGCTGGGTTCAGGGTCAGGGGTAGAACTCATAGACCTAGGGAGGCTTTACCTGGAGGAGGCTGAGTTTGGTCCCCAACACTGCATGATCCCCCAGGTGCTGCAGGAAGTAGCCCGCAAGCACAGGACTGGAAGTGGCCTTTCTGTAGTCCCCATCCCCTCAAAAGGCAGGGATTGATTCTTAGCTGCATGAAATTTCATGGGCCCCATGAACTGGGGCTGAAGCTCTCTCCACAGATAGACTCTTTTTTTTTGGGGGGGTCACACCTGGTGATGCACAGGGGTTACTCCTGGCAGTGCTCGGGGGACCATATGGGATGCTAGGAATCGAACCTGGGTCGACTGCATGCAAGGCAAATGTCCTACCCGCTGTGCTATTGCTCCAGCCCCCATTTTTTTGTTGTTATTTGTTTATTTTTTGCTTTTTGGGTCACACCCGGCGATGCACAGGAGTTACTCCTGGCTCTGCACTTAGGAATTACTCCTGGCGGTGCTCAGGGTACCCTATGGGATGCTGGGAATCGAACCCGGGTCGGCCCTGTGCAAGGCAAACGCCCCACCGGCTGTGCTACCGCTTCAGCCCCTGCAGACAGACTCTTGGGCTGAGCAGAGAGCTGGCCTGGCTGTGGAGTGGGACAGGTTCTCAGGTTGGAGAGTGCAGAGGGGGGAGATGGCCTTGGGGACAAGCGGTGGGTAAGAGCGAGACTAATACTTTCCTGGCCCGAGGCCTGGATCTTTGGTTTCAATGGCGCGTGACCCTGACATCAGCCATTCAATAAATATTTTTTGAGCTCCAGTTTTGTCTCTGGCCTTGTGCTGGGCCGTGTGGGGGTCTCTGCGGACCCCCGGACAGTCCTGACTTCCGCCCGGTTCCTGCCTGAGCCTCCATAAAGGTAAACATAGAAGTAATAAAATGGGATCAAGGCCATGCAGCGGGCTTGGGGTAGGTGATATCTGATAGCTCGGCAGGAATGGGAGAATTTCCAAGTGAGAACAGAGGAGGAATCTTGCTCACTCTGTTGGGCTTGGTTGCGTGTGGGGATGGGGTGGTAGGTTCTCTGCCTGGTTGCACTTAGAAACAGACGGATAGAGATCACAGTGGCAAAAGGCCTTGTCAGTGCCGTGAAACTGATCTAATAGTGCCAGGGCATATGCACGGATCTGGGTTCAGTCCCTACACTGTGTGGCCCCCGTCGACTCTAGCATGCCTGGGTCTGAGCTGAGCCACCCCACGAGGCCCAAGCCTTCAACACTCTGCTGGGTTGGTCAAGTATCTCTGGGAATGACCCTAGCTCCTTGAGCCCCCCCCCCCAATCAAAAGACAGAGGCGCTGGAGTGATAATACAGTTGGGAGGGTGCTTACCTTCACAAGACTGACCTGGTTCAACCCCTGGCATCCCATATCAGCACTGCCAGCATCCGTATCTGATCCTTGAGCACAGAGCCAGGAGGAAGCCCAGAGCCCATCTAGGAGGGGGAGTGCGGAGAAGACAAAGTAATGATAAATTTTAAAGAGGCCCTCAACAGTGTGTAGGGAGACCTGGGCGGGGGGGGGCAAGGGGGGGCAGTTGTCTTGGATTAAGCAGGCAAGAGAATACCTCAAGGAGGAGGTGTGACCTGCACCAGGACCACAGGAACAGGACTAGAGAGTGCGTGCAAACCCCCTAAGGCAGGAAAGATGCTGCTGAATTCTTACCTCAGCTCATGTTGGGCCAGCCCTGTATGGCCAGTCTGCAAGAGGTTGGTGTTGGCTGAGCTGTGAGAGAGATAATTCTATTGTTTCCTGGTGCAAAAAGATTGTTTTATATGCAGAAGCCCCAGGTATGAATCCCTATGCATTATGATCCCTTGAGCATTACTGGGAGCAAGCCATGAGCATTGTCAGGTGTGGCCCCCAATCCAAAATAATCATAATAATAATAATAGTAACAATAACAGCTTACACAGAGGACCTAGAATGGTTAGATCCTGTGCCAAGTGATGTCTCTGGCTGATCCTGAATTTGCATCCTAAGACCTCACACAGCATCTCAATCCTCTCTTTTGATTTCATTTTGTTTTGGGGCCACATCCGGCGGTGCTCAGGGCTGACTTCTAGCTCTGTGCTCAGGAATCACTCCCAGCGGGGCTCAGGAACCAGGTGGGGTGCCGGCATCAAACCCAGGTCAGCCCACATGCAAGGCAAAATGTCTAACTCGCTGTACTCTCTCTTCGACCCCCTCTTTCTGTCTTGTTTTGTTGTTGGGGGGCTAGGAATCAGACCCAGGGCCTCACACAGGTGTGTGTGCCCTCTCACTGAACTCCACCCCCATCCCCAGAGGCTTCAGCCCTGGTTATTTGACTTGTCCAAGGCCACCAAGCTGGTACATGATAGCAGACTTCTGTAGCTCAAAAGGCAGATCTTGCAAACCCACCCCACCCCATCTCATTTTATAGAGCAAGAGGCCTAGCTGGGGATAGTGCTTCCCAGCCTGCATGGCGAACATCATGACAGGTTTGGTTTGGTCTTGGACCATATCCAGTGGTACTGGAGGACTCATAGTATTCGGGAGCACTTCCGGTAGTACTCAGGGTACCAAGCAGTGCCAGGGATCAAACTTGGACTCCTGCTTGCAGCCTGTGTGTTCCAGCCCTCCTGGTCCCTGATGCCAGTTTATTTTGCGGGGGGTTTCTGGGGGAGGAAGGAGGCTTCTTTTTTTTTTTTTTTTTTTTTTTTTGCTTTTTGGGTCACACCCGGCGATGCTCAGGGGTTACTCCTGGCTCTGCGCTCAGGAATTAATCCTGGAAGTGCTCAGGGGACCATATGGGATGCTGGGAATCGAACCCGGGTCGGCCAGGTTGGCTGCGTGCAAGGCAAACGCCCTACCTGCTGTGCTATCGCTCCAGCCCCAGGAAGGAGGCATCTAAGCAACAACTGGGCTGGAAGGTTGAACGGGCTCAGGAACAGATATTGCTTGGTCCTACAAGTGCCGGGGATCACCAGGACCCACACTAGCGGTGATGGTAGACCCTGTGACTCAGGGATCCAACAGAAGCCCCACCCATGCCAGGCTTGTGCCTTAACCTCGTTCCATCTCCCTGGCTCTTCCGAGTGGCCTTTTTCAAAGCCTCCCCTGTTTGCGCTCAGTGAATTTCCACCCCATGATGTGTGTGTGTGTGTGTGTGTGTGTTCCTAGTGTGTCCATTTTACAGATGAAGAAACTGAGGCACAGTACAGTGAAGTTATGGAGTCGAGTGGGCTCCAGGCAAGAAAGCTGACAGGCAGCAGTGCCAGGATTTGAACCGAGGAGTCCAATGCTCACGCAGCCCCTCTGTCTCCCCCTGCATCCTGGGGCTCTGGGCACCCCAATAAGGAGCCCCTCCTTCCTCTCCCCAAGCCTTCCCTTCCCATCCTGCTGAGTCCACAGATGCACAGATAAGGGTGTGGTGTGGCTCTTGGGCACCTGGCAGAGACCAAAGGTCCCAGCAACGGTTCCTCTCCCCCTCTGGGTAGGGCATCAGGCGGCCAGGCAGGTGGCCTGGGCGGAGCACCTGGCCTTCCCTCCCCAGCTGGGTGCCACCCCTGCACTGTTTGTAGAATGATGGGAGGTTGGTTTCACTTTGTTCCAAGCCCCTTCACGGGTGGGCTGGCCTGAGGAGGGGGCAGGGAGTTGTGCCATATCCCCAATGCCCAGGGCGCAGATTGGGGGTGGGGGCATGGGATACCGAGAGGGAAGGTGTCAGGCGGCACAGAATGTCTGGCCTTTTACAGCCCTGCCGCCCTGCCTGCACCACTTCCGGGACTCACTAAGGCCCTGGGCTTCCAGAAGGGCACACCCCCACATTTTGTACAGAACCTTGGGTGTCCCTTTCCCCCTTGGCAAGAAGTCCAGGCTTTCCCGTCGTCCCTGCCCTGATGTTCGGGGAAGAGGCGTGGAGGGTGCTCTGGAACCCCATACGAGAGAGGCAAAGGGATGGTTGCCTAGGAACCCACCACAGGGGTTTGGGACTCCAGGGAAGTCAGAATCTGGGGTTCCCCCTAGGAGGAAAAAGGCAGGGGTGCAGGAGGGGAGGGCTGGAGTGTCTGTCTTAAAAGCTGCCAAGCGGGCGCCGCCTTCTGGACCTCACCTTCTCTTTCTCTCTTCCTTCCACAGACGATTTGGGTGAGTATCAGCACCGGGTTGAGGGGACTGGTGAGGCGCTTCCCTGTGGGGGGCGGGTGCTGGGGGGCAGGTACCTAGGGTGCTTAGTGGAGCTTGACAGGACTTGGACAAGCCTCAGCCTCCGTCTTAGCCGCCTTCGGAGTGACCCTGATGCTGGCTCCATCCTGCAGTGTCTTGTACCCTGACTGTCACCGGCTGCTCTGGGCAGGGGGGAACAGCTGGAATCAGGCACAGTCTTTGCCCCACCCACCCTGGCTGAGCCTCTAGCTGTGGGGGAGACGGTAGGAAGAGGAACGCTTGCCTTGCCTGCAGCTGACCTGGGTTCCATCCCCAGCACCTGGTAGGGCCCCTGAGCCCTGAGCATTGGTGGGTGTGGCCCCCAAACAAACCCAGAAGGCTCCCACCTGGAAGGGGAACCTGTCACTTGATCCTTGCCTTTGTCCACGTGAGAGGCTGTACAGGCTGGGACCAGCAGCCGAGGGACCGGATGCACAGGGTGTTGCAGAGAGATGAGGCCCCTCAAGAAATGTCTTAAAGGGACTGGAGCGCTAATACAGCGGGGAAGTTGCTTGCCTTGCACTGGCCAACTCGGGTTTGATCCCCTGCACCCCATATGGTTCCCCAAACCCACCAGGAGTGATCCCTGAGCACAGAACTTAATTTGATGCCCCCCCCCAAATAATGTGAAAACCAAACCACAATGTCTTGAAGGGTGGGGAGAGAGCACAGTGGTTAGGGTGCATGCTGGATTCCCGGCACTGCGTGGGCGCCTGACCATCTTGGGGTGCAGCCCTGGAGGTCCCCTCAGCAGTGCTGAAATGCTCCAGCACTGCCATCATCTGGCCCTGGCGGGAATAGATAGAGTCTGGGTGGCTGAGAATTCCAGGCGTCCCCCCTGAGCATCCCTTGAAAGCCCCCTCCTCCCCAAACAAAGTCCTGTTGAGATGAAGGGTGGGGGATCACTCACAGCACAGGCTGGGGGAGGGGATGGCGGTGGGGGGGACACCCCACCTGGTGCGGCGGAGCCGGCAGTCACCCCCGTTTTCTGCTTCTCCCTTAGAGATCATCGACGAGTTCATTAAGGAGGAGGGCTTCGGCGTGGACGGGACGCTGCTGGGCCCCGGTGGCGAGGGGCGGCCGCGCCTAGTGGCCCGGGGCGGGCCGGCCTCCCTGAGCACCGTCACGCTGAGCCCCGCGGCGCCCGCGCCCCCCGCCACGCCGCCGCCCTGGGGCTGCGCGCTGGGCCGCCTGGTGCCCCCCAGCTCGGGCCCGGGCCCGCGGCCGCACCTGGTCATCACCGAGCAGCCCAAGCAGCGCGGCATGCGCTTCCGCTACGAGTGCGAGGGCCGCTCGGCCGGCAGCATCCTGGGCGAGGGCAGCACCGAGGCCAGCAAGACGCTGCCTGCCATCGAGGTGGGGCTCGCGGGGGCGCCGGTCGTGGGCGGGGGCCGGGGGTTGGTGGCTGGCTGGGGGGCGCGGCCCCGGGCCCTCACTCTGCACTCCGTGGGGGGCTTTCCTTCCTCCCCGCTGTTTGCGGGTTTGGATCCGTGCGGGTAAGCGCCCCTGGCTGGGGCAGAGAGAGTGCACGCAGACGACCCGAGTTCCAACCCTGGCCACCGCCGAAGTTCCCCGGGAACTGCCAGGAGGGATCCCCGAGCACCGCTGGGTTTGGCCAAAAAACAGAAACTAAATAGACAAAAGAGAGGTCAAGGGGCTGGAGTGATAGCACAGCTGGTAGGGCGTTTGCCTTGCACGCGGCCAACCTGGGTTCGATTCCCAGCATCCCATATGGTCCCCTGAGCACCGCCAGGAGTAACTCCTGAGTGCAGAGCCAGGAGTAACCCCTGTGCATCGCCGGGTGTGACCCAAAAATAAAAAAAAAAAAGAGGTCAAGGCTTAAAGCGCTCAGGACTGGTATGGGGCTTGGCCCTTTTGTAAATCGCGTAGCGTTGCTAGTCTGGTTGGCTGGGTCCGCTACAAGCAACCGCCAGTACTCCGAATGCCCTCTAGAGGGCAGTACTCCCCAACTCAGACACTTTTTTTCTTTGCGTGCTAGAGTGTGCGTGTGTGTGTGCGCGCGTGTGTGTGTGTGTGCGCGCGCGCATGCGTGCGCATGTGCCTGCCTGCTTGCCCGCCGTCTGTCTGTATCTGGTGTGGGGAAGGAGAGACCACAGCCACCCTGTTTGTGGTGATGGTTGTGCTGGGGGCATCGGTGCGGTGTGAGACTGGAACTCTGGTCTCCTGCAAACAAAGCCTGCAGTCACTGTTGCAGATTGTTTGGGCCGTGTTGATTATATTTTATTCATGTTCTGTTTTGGGGCCACACCTGGCGGTGCTCAGGGCTTACTCCTGGCTCTGCATTCAGGAATCGCTCCTGGCGGTACTCAGGAGGAATATATGGGATGAAACCTGCTGTACTTTCTCTTCAGTCCCTGTCTTTCATTTTATTATTTATTTATTTAGGTCATCCCTGGCGGTGCACTGGGCTTATTTCTGGCTCTGTGCTTAGGGAGCACTCCTGGCAGGGAGCTCCTCTGTGGAGCTAGGGATTGAACCCAGGTCAGCCGCGTGCAAGGCAAGCACGTTCCCCCGCTGTACTTATCTTTCCAGCCCCTGTGTCTGCAGTGCGGATGCTTTTCGGACAGACACCGTCTAGCTATCACCAGACTATTTTGAAATCTTTTTTAAAACTTATTTTCTTGGGAGGGCCACACCCATCAATGCGCAGGGGGTACTCCTGCTCAGTGCTCAGGAGCATCCTCTGGTGGTTCTCAGCGGAGTGAGAGATCAAGCTGGAATCAGCAGGATGGAAGGCCTGGACTGGTGAGCTTTCCAGCCCTGAGACCTGAGTCTGATCTGAGCCCCATGTGAGCCTCCAAGCACTGCTGCGAATGGCCTGTATTAAAAGGAAAAACAAAACAAAACAGCACGTGCGCAGGGAGAAGAAGGAAAGACGTTTCTTTTTATTTTTGTCTATGCCTGGTTTGGGGGCCATACTTGCCTGTGCTCAGGGCTTACTCCTGGCTCTGCACTGAGAAATCACTCCTGGAGCAGCTCAGGGGCCCCTATGGGGTGCCAGGATCAAACCCAGGTCAGCCACGTGCAAAGCAAGTACCTGGACCCGCAGTACTACTGGGGGAGATAGTGCGGAGTACTGAGCATGGACTTTGCATATTGGAGCTCTGAGTTTGATCCCCAGCACCACAAGGTCCCCTGTGCACCATGTGGGACACCACTGAGAGTGACCTCTGGGCACAGAGCCAGGAGTAGCCCCTGAACACCCTTGGAGTGGCCTCAAAATTAAACTAAAAGGCTGAGCAGTAAAGCCAAGCCAAGGGGGGTGCAGCTGCCAGGTGACCCCCTCAGACCACGCTGGAGGGATCTGAGAGGGATTGGGGGGGTCTCATTCCCTTCCTGCCTGTGTCATCCCAGGGGGGCTGGGGGAGGACTTCCGGGGAGCCCAGGCGCTGGGGGAGGGGTGGCCTGGGAATGCCCTGGGACCCCAGCGAGCACCCGTCTCCCTGCAGCTCCGGGACTGTATAGGTCTGCGGGAGGTGGAGGTGACCGCCTGCCTGGTGTGGAAGGATTGGCCCTACCGCGTGCACCCACACAGCCTTGTGGGGAAGGACTGCACGGACGGCGTGTGCAGGGTGCGGCTCCGGCCTCACATCAGCCCCCGGCACAGGTACCTGAGCCCCCTGCCCCCTCTCTGCGCCTGGATGCAGACATGCCCAGGAGCACCCTGGGAAACTGGGCCAGCCCCTCCCCTCTGCCTTTTCTCCTGGAAATACTGAAGCCCGAGGGAGGGAGGTGGGGTCTGCAGTGGCCTGCAGGTCAGCTGTATTCACTGACCCACCTGCCCTTGGGGAGAGGAGATAGAGCCCCTCAGTAGAGTGACTGCTGAACTCACTTCCGCACTCCAAGGCCAGGCTTTTTCTTTTTTTTTTTTTTTATTGTTTTGCTTTTGGGGTCTCACCCGGTGATGCACAGGGGTTACTCCTGGCTCTGCGCTCAGGAATTATTCCTGGCGGTGCTCGGGGGACCATATGGGATGCTGGGAATCAAACCTGGGTCAGCTGCGTGCAAGGCAGATGCCCTACCCACTCAGCTATCGCTCCAGCCCCAGTATGGGGGGATTATATAGAATGCAGGGATCAAACCCGGGTTGACTGCCTGTAAGGCAAACGCCCTCCCTGCTGTACTATGGCTCGAGTCCATCTTTGATTTTTTTTGGTGCTGGGCTCGAACCTGGTGCCTCATGCATATGAGGTATGTGCTGTCCTGCTGAGCCACACACTGGCCTGCTGTGGTCCATCTCTTACTTGATAATTTATATATATTTGCCTATAGAAACAGACATACTTATATGTTTATATATTTCTTTGGTTTGGGAGACCACACCTGGTGATGCTCAGGGATCATTTATGGCAGGCTCGGGGGTCCTCTGTGGTGCAAGGGATCGAGCCCAGGTCAGCCATGTGCAAGGCAAACGCCCCACCTGATGTCCTATCAGTCTAGCCCTAAACATGTGTATATACGTACTGTGTGTGTTCTAGAGAGTGCTGGGCATGGAACCTGGAATTTCACACATGCACGGCAAGTGCTCAACCACTGAGCTGCATCCTTGGCCCCAGATAATTTTTAATAGTTTAATAAAGCTTTTGTGGTCCCCCAAGCCCCATCATACATGATTCCTGAGTGCAGAACCAGAAATAGCCGAAGCACTGCCTGGTGTCGCCCCCCAAACCAAAACCACAACAAAAGAAAATCTAGGAAAGTAAGCAGTGAAATAAAGATTCAGAAACTCACAGCAAAAAGGAGGGTCCCTTCTAGGGGCCAGAGAGAGCGCAGTGTAAGACAGGTGCCTGGGAGCAAGACTGCACTGCACTGCACTGCACTGTCCTCTCACCATTGTTCATCGATTTGCTCAAGCGGGCAGCAGTAAAGTCTCATAACAAATTGTGAGACTTGTTGTTTCTGTTTTTGGCATATTGAATATGTACAGGTTGCTTGCCAGGCTTTGCCGTGTGGGCGAGATACTCTGGGTAGCTTGCCAGGCTCTCTGAGAGTGGCAGAGGAATCGAACCCAGGTCGGCAGTGGGAGTTCAGCAAACTGAACAGTGGCTTTGCAAGCGGGAGGCCCCAGTTTGATGCTTGGTACCATATGGGCCTCCAAGCACTGCTATGAGGGACCCTTGAGCACTGAGCTGGATGTAGCTTCTGAGGATTGCCAGGTGTGACCCAAGAAACAACCCCTACGTGGGGTATAGCGGGTTGGACGTGTGTCAGCAAACTGCTGACCTGGGTTCAATACATGGCACCTTATATGGTCCCGTGAGCCTCTTAGGAATGATACCTGAGCACAGCGGGGTCTGGCCCACAGACAAAGCAAACACGAAAAACAACCCCCCAGAGCCAGTTCCTACTGGGTAAGGCGTTTGCCTTGCATTGAGTTCGATCCCTGGCATCCCGTATGGTCCCCCAGCACCCCCAGGAGTGATTCCTGAGTGTAGAGCCAGGAGTAACCCCTGAGCATCAGCAGATGTGGCCCCAAAACAAAGCAAAGCAAAAGCCAGAAAAAAAAAAACCAGGGTCAGCCACAGGCAATGCTTATGTCTTGGGGTTTTTTTGGTTTGTTTTTAGGCCACACTCGGCGATGCTCAGGGGTTACGCCTGGCTCTGCACTCAGGGATCACTGTGCTTGGGGGACCATATGGGATGCTGGAATTAAACCCGAGTCAGCACGTGCAAGGCAAACACCTTTTCCACTGTATTTTTGTCCCAGCCCCATCCCTGGTTTGGTTCAGCAGCACCCTATGATTCCTTGAACATCTCAGGTGCAGCCCTGGGGACCCTGGCGCACCTTTGCGATGGTTTGGGGAGTCCCTAGAGCCACAGGGCAGGCCTGAGCAATACCCCAATCCTCAGACACTTGCATGGTGGTGGTCGAGAATCACAGGAGCCACCCTGGGTCTCCTGAGCAGTGCTTGGAATGCTCAGGACCCAAAACAGACATGCCCGCCCATATCTGGTCCTCTTCCTCCTGTTGCTAAGATAAAACTGACATACAGGGCTGGAGTGATAAGACAGTGGGGAGGGTGTTTGCCTTGCACACTGTGACTCGGATTGGATCCCCGGCATCCCATATGGTCCCTCAAGCACCACCAGGGGTGATCCCTGAGCACAGAGCCAGGAGTAAGACCTGAACACCACTGGAGAGGCCCCCAGACCAAAGAAATCAATCCTCAACACAAGATTGGCTGGTAACTTCATGTGCTCAAGATAAACAAGCATGTTCCAGGTTCCGCCCAGAATCCTCCTTCTAGGGCTTTCTACAGTAGACCCCTGGGTCCGGGGTGCCTCAAGCATCTCCTGGAGCCGGAGCGATAGCACTGCAGGGAGGTCACTGGCCTTGTACACAGCTGACCCGGGTTCAATCCCTGGCACCCCACGTATCCCCCGACCACCACCAGGAGTGATTCCTGAGCACCGTTGAGTGTGATGACCCCAAACAAAACAAAATAAAGCAGCACACCCCCAACCCTCACGGGCCTCTCCCTGCGTGACCCCCGCAGCTTCAACAACCTAGGCATCCAGTGCGTAAGGAAGAAGGAGATTGAGGCCGCCATTGAGCGGAAGATCCAGCTGGGGATCGACCCCTACAATGGTGAGTCCCCACCTTCCTGCCCCCCCGACCCCCCCAGGGGGAATGCTTCTCCCCCCCTCAGCCTCCCTGTCTTGCCCCCAGCCGGGTCCCTGAAGAACCATCAGGAAGTGGACATGAACGTCGTGAGGATCTGCTTCCAGGCCTCATACAGGGACCCGCAGGGACAGCTGCAGCACTTGGACCCGGTCCTCTCAGAGCCCGTCTACGACAAGAGTGAGTGCTCACTCCCCAGGGCTGCTCCTCGGCTTGAATGTCTCACGGCTTGGGGCCCAAGAAGAGAATTCTGTCACTAGTTATTAACATCTCTTCCGTCTCTTCTGATGGTGTTCGTAGTCTGATCCTCTCAGGCCTCTAGATCGGCAGCTCTGAGTCACCTTTCCTCATGGTCAAGAGATGGCTGCCATAGCTCCAGGCATCATGTCTGATGTTCAAGGTCCACTCAGCAGTATCACCCTCTGTGATTAGGCTGGCTGTACCTGCCTAATTTTAGGGATTTGCATTTATAATATAGCCGGTGGCTATAGGGTGTTGTAGAATGCACAGCTATTTATTTTTAAATTTGTTTTGGTTTGGTTTTTGGACTATACCAGCAGTGCTGAGGGGTTTCTCCTGGCTCTTGCGAATTACTCCTGTTGGGCTCGGGGGACCTTATGGGATGCTGGTATCAAACCCGGAAGAGCCACAAGTGCCCACCCTTGCTGCACTATTGCTCCAGACACTAAAATGCACAGCTGGTACGACCGTTCTAGGCAGCTCAAATTCCAAGGATGCCCCAGGTGAAAATGAAAGGGGGATTGTGACACAAAGTTAGGGCACCAACTTGCAGGACAGGGCGCCACAAGATGGAAACAAGGTCAGAGGGTCCATGGTCAGAAAAAGGTTGAGCCGGAGTGATAGTATAGTGGGGAGGGTGCTTGCCTTGCCCACAGCTGACCCAAGTTTGATCCTCGGCATCCCATAAGGTCCCCTGAGCATGTCCAGGAGTAATTCCTGAGTGGATAGCATGGGGATTCTGGGTGTCACTCGAAAACAAAAACAAAACAAAAAAACAGAGGTTGAGAACCACAGTCTAGAGCAGTCTAGCTTGGTTGGTCATGTCCCCACACCATCTTTCTCACTCTTGGTTTTTGCTCCACACCCAGCAGTGCTCAGGGCCTCTTCGACGGGGTGCTCTGGGACCGTGTGGTGTGGGGATCAAACCTGGGCCCTTTGCATGGAGAGTGTGTGCACGAGCTCTCTTTATTTCTTTTCATTTTTCTTTTAGGCTCGGGGATTATTCCTGGCTCTGTGTTCAGGCATGACTCCTGGCCACGCTTAGGAGGCCCACATTCTGGGGAGTCTGGAAAGCAGCTAGCTCAGATATTCATCTTCTGTTCCAGGCATGGAAGAAGGGGTGGGATTTGATCATTAAGTAGTTTTAGCCTGCCTCGGGACTAGAGTGATGATAATACACTTGCCTTGCATGCAGCCAACCCGGGTTCAATTCCCAGCATCCCAGATGGTCCTCCAAGCACGATCAGGGGTGATTCTGAGCACAGAGCTAGGAGTAACCACTAAGCATAGCTGGTGTGTCCCAAAAACAAAACAAAAAAGTTTTGGCCTGCCTCCGGTCTAAAATGTTAAAATGGAGGGGCTGAAGAGATAATCCAGTGGGTAGAGCACTTGCCTTGCACACAGCAGACCTGGGTTCGATCCCAGGCATCCCATGAAATCCCGGAGCTCCACCAGGAACAATTTCTGAGTTCTGGGTGTGACCCCAAAACAAACAAACAAAAATAATAAAAAAAAATGGAGGGGCTAGAGTGATAGAACAGCAGGTAGGGCATTTGCCTTGCACGCAGCCCAACCGGGTTCGATTCCCAGCACCCCATATGGTCCTCTGAGCACCACCAGGAGTAACTCCTGAGTGCAGAGCCAGGAGTAACCCCTGAGCATCGCCGGGTGTGACCCAAAAAGCAAAAAAAAAAAAAAGTTAAAATGGAAAGAGATACTAATTCAGCCAGGATTTTCATTTTAAATAGGGGCATTTCCAGTGACACTCAAAGGTCTGGAGTCTTCTCCCAGCAAGCCTGAGGGTCTTGGGGCTCACAATTCAGTGCTCCAGCTTGCCATGTGTTGCTGCTTGTGCAGGAGCTGTTAGAGGCCTCTGGGGCCATACACAGTGCTGCTTGGGGGACCACGCACTCTGGCCGTGAAATGGGCGCATGCCCGGTCTGTGTGTCCTTCCTCTGAGGTGCCTTCCCAGCTTCACTCAGGGCTATTGTGGATGCAAGAAACTAAAAATATTGGGGGCCAGAGCAATAGTACTAGTGGGTAGGGTATTCGCCTTGTACATGGCTGAACTTGGTTTGACCCTCGGTATCCCATATGGTCCCCTGAGTACCACCACCAGTAAGCCCTGAGCATCGTCAGGTGTGGCCCAAAAACAAAAACTGAAAATGGGGAGGGGGGCGGCAGAGCAATAGTATGGAGGGAGTGTAGGGTACTTGCTTTTCATGTGGTCAACCTGAATTTGATCCCTGGCAACCCATATGGTCCCCTGAGCCTGGCCAGGACTGATCCCTAAGCACACATCTAGGAGTAAGTAATGAGCACAATTGTGTATAACCCTCACCTTCCCCCCCCAAAAAAAAAAAACCACCAAAAAATACCCACAACCAAATTTACTAAAACAGTCCAGGGTTAACAGCATTCAGGCTAGCTGCCCCTGGCTCTGGCTCTGAGCTGTGCAGACTTCCTTAGATGAGCTATGCTTGGTACAGCACCCCAGTGTCAACATGGGGTGTGTGTGCAAAAAAAAACTGTGCTGCTCTTGTCTTATATCCTACCAGCTTGGATCTTTCCCATCCCAGAGCTTCTCTTGCCCGATGTAGTTGGGTCCTGGGGTGACGGAGATGGAATGCAATGCAGGGCCTGCTCTAGCATTAAATAGTATTAGCACTAGTACTAACTAGTATTAACTACATCCCTTGCTCAGTTTTCTCTTTGCTTTTGGGGTCACACCTGGTCGTGCTCGGGAGTAAATCATTGGTTCAGTGCTCAGGGATTATTCCTGGGAGTACTCTGGATACGGGGAATCAACTAGGTGAGCCACATGCAAGGCAAGAGCCTAACCCACTGGACTATCTTTCTGCCTCCCCCGACCTACTCTTATGTAAACCCAGCAGTGCTCAGGACTTACTCCTGGTGGGCTCAGGGGGGCCATATGGGACGCCAGGGATCGAACCCCAGTAGGTCGTGTGCAAAGCAAAAGTCCTACCTGCTGTATAATCGCACTGACACCCTCTTTTCCTTTCCGTGCGTGTTACACCCAGCATTTCTCAGGACTTAGTCCTGGCTCTGTGCTCAGGGATCACTTCTGGCAGGGCTCTGGGGACCATGTGGGATCTGGGGATAGAGCCTGGGGGAGCTGAGTATGAAGCAAACGCCTCTGCTCTGTGTTACCACTTGGCCACTTCAGTCTTTCTTGCCCACGAGTTTCAGTCTTGTCTCTCATTCGCCTGAGTTTTGGCCAATTACAGGGAGACAGTGCTCTGATTGGCTGGAACGGGTCACATGATTACTACCAGACTAGGGATTGGCTCAGGCAGAAATGGCATTGTACTCCTTCACTGGCACGTGAGCAAAGCTGGGGAGGGTTCTGAGTTGGTCCAGGCTGCGTGCCAGGTCGTCTTTGCCTTCGTGAAGGAAAAAAAAACAAAAACTTGAGAATTTATTAAAAGAGAAAGAGCGAGGCCCTCCAAAAGGGCAAAGCAACAGTAACCACAGATGGCATGCTATTAACTCTCCTATACAGCGACCTGATACTGTCTAGTTCTCGCTTTCAGAGAACCCAGCAGGCTACGGAGAGTATCTTGCCCTCATATATGCCTGACTGGAAAACCTGCACAGGTGATTAAAGGCTGCCCCAAAAGCCTCCATCCCCCTTGGAGAGCCCTGCAAGCTAATGAAGAGTATCCCGCCCACATGGCAGAGTCTGGCAAGCTACCCGTGGGGTACTCAATGTGCCCAAAACAGTAACAATGATGGTCCTCATTCCCCTGACCCTGAAAGAGCCCCAATATACCATCGGGCTACACTAGCACGTGACAGGGACGAATGGAGATACTACTGGCGCCTGCTTGAGCAAATCGATGAACAACGGGGTGATAGTGATAGTGATACAGCGGGTAGGGTGTTTCCCTTGCACGCAGCCGACCCAAGTTCAATTTCCAGCATCCCATATGGTCCCCCAACACTCAGGAGTAATTCCTGAGTGCAGAGCCAGGAGTAACCCCTGTGCATTGCCGGGTGTGACCCAAAAAAGAAAAAAAATTCTCTTTGTGGTCTGAAAGATAGAGTAGGGATGTAGGGGTGAAGGCACTTGCTTTGCTTTCGGTGGACTTCCCCACTCTACCTCCCCACCCAAGCACCGCCCAGAACGAGGATAAGTCCTTCAGGACATCTGGTGTACATCTGATGTGGTTTCAAACCAACCTGGTCCCTGCCCGGTATCTCAGATCTGATGGGGTGGAGTGGGGAGTGTCTCCCTTTTGACTGGAGATTCAGCTAGCCTTGGGATGGGGACAGATGACTGTGATGGACATTTGAGGCTCCTCCTGCTCCCTAGCACATGACTTCCAGGATGACGGGATGTTGTTTCCTGCATTTGCCTTGTCTGGTGGCCCTGGGTGGCCTCTGAGATCCCCTGCTCAGGGATGGATGACCCATTTCTGGGTGTTTTCTCATGAGGCGCCTCTTTCTTGGGCTCCTTTCCAGAGTCCACGAACACCTCAGAGCTGCGGATCTGCCGAATCAACAAAGAGAGTGGGCCGTGTACGGGGGGTGAGGAGCTCTACCTGCTGTGTGACAAGGTGCAGAAAGGTGAGGGCCGTCGCCACTGCGAGATTGGGACTGGGATGGGGCAGGGGTGGGACCAGGAGGAGCAGGTGAAATTGTCTTTGGAGCCAGATGGACTCGCGCCCTCACTCCTTCCTGTGACGGGGCGAGGTCTGAGTTAGAGCAGGCTGTGTGCCAGGCTCCCCACCATCCCCTGGCTTGCTGTCAGGAAGACTCAGACTAAATGTGTGTGAAGTAAAGAGACTCTTTATGGGGCTGGAGAGTTAGTACAGCAATTGCCTTACCAAAGCTGACCTGGGCTTGATCACTAGCGTCCAGTATGAGCAACCTCTCCCCATCCCATTCGACCCACCCCCAGTCTTCCAGAAGTGATCCTTGAGTGCAGAGCCAGGAGTAAGTCCAGAACACAGACAAGTGTGTCCCCAAATTTCCACCCACCAAAAAAAGCTTTCTAAGGAGACAGTATAGCAGGTAAAGCGCTTGCCTTGCCTTGTGAACAGATGATTGTGTATGGTCTCCCAAACACCACCAGGAGTTAGTCCTGGGCACTGCCAGGTGTGGCCCAAAACAAAACACAACAAATAGAATCCCTTTTTCAAAGAGGATTTATTTATTTATTTATTTATTTTGGTTTTGAGGTCACACCAGTGATGCTCAGAGGTCTACTCCTGGCTCTGTGCTCAGGAAGTACTCCTGGTGGTGCGCAGGGGATATGGAATCCCATATGGGATGCCAGGGATTGAACCTGGGTTGGTTGGTTGGTTGCAAGGCAAGGGCTCTCCCCATTGTACTCTCTCTCTGGCCCCCCACGGAGGGTTTAAAAACCACTTGATGGGGTTTGACCAGAGAAATAGTGTAGGGGATGAGGCACTTGCATGCCCCAGTTTCAATCTCTGGCATAGGAGCATGACTGGGTATGACCTGACCACCGCTCCTCCCCAACCCCCCACCCCGGCCAAATAAATAGCCACCTTGGGTAGGAAGGAGCCTTCTTGCCTGTAGGTACCCGCCTTCCTTCTGTACCCCTGCACTTGCTGTGGCACGACCACCCTCCACAACATCACCAACAAGACTAACAAAGAGCTAACGAACTTCCTACACATACCGCATGCCTGGCTCTGCTGTGAGAACCTCAAATTATCCAGCTGCCCCACACTTCTTTGAGGCAGACCCCTACTTCACACAGGAGGAAACTGAGGCGAAGAATGGCAAACCACAGGGTGGGAGAGATAGTACAGTGGGCAGTGGGCAAGGTGCTTGCCTTGCTCGCAGACGACCCCCAGATCAATCCTCAGTATCCCATATAAGGTGCCCTGAGTCCTACCAGCAGTAATCTCTGAGCATAGCCAGGTGTGGCCCAAACACTAAAATAAATAAATAAATAAAGAGGCCGAGAGATAATACAGCAGATAAGGCTCTTGCCTTGCAGGTAGCCAACCTGGTTTGGATCCCCAGCATCCCATATGGTACCCCAAGCGCTGCCAGGAGTGATTTCTGAGTGCAGAATCAGGAGTAACCCCTGAGCATCATAGGGTGTGGCCCCAAAACTAAACAAACAAACAAAAAACTTTTAAAAAATTCAGACATATCCCATACCAGTGCCCAAAAGAACAGTAACTGCAGCTACAGGTTGTGTTCCTAGTGGTTTGGGGGGGCGTCGGGCCAGTGTCCTGCTCAGCTGACACACCTCACTCTCCTGCCAGAGGATATCTCAGTGGTGTTCAGCAGGGCGTCCTGGGAAGGCCGGGCTGACTTCTCGCAAGCCGACGTGCACCGCCAGATTGCCATCGTGTTAAAGACGCCGCCTTACGAGGACCTGGAGATTGCAGAGCCCGTGACGGTGAACGTGTTCCTGCAGCGGCTCACGGATGGCGTCTGCAGCGAGCCTTTGCCCTTCACTTACCTGCCCCGAGACCACGGTAACGTCATGGTGTACACGCCCCCTCCCCCCTCGCCTCATGCATGTGCATGTGCGCGCAGGCCTCTGTGCTCTGTTTCGTGTGACCCAGAGGGACAGGGGAAGCACGCAGGATGCAGAAGACAGGTACGGAGCTGCGTAGACCTGAGCTTGAACCGTGGTTGTACCGCTTCCTCCTGTGTGACCTTGGCCTCTCTGAGCCCATCTCCTGGGAAGAATGAAAATACTGATAATGTTCATGGCAGGGCTGGGGAGGGGACTTCGTGGTTCCATCTTTCTGCATCCCTGCTTGTGCCTTAGCCCTGTTTTGGGTGATATGGGGGACCCAGTGGTGATAGAGATCACCCCCAGCCAGGAAGCTATGGCTGCAGAGAGGCTGGGAGGCCACACCCAGCGATGCTCAGGGGTTACTTCTGGCTCTGCAGTTACTCAGGAATTACTCCTGGCTGTGCTTGGGGGACCATATGGGATGCTGGGAATCGAAGCCTGGTTGGCCACATGCTTGGGAGGCAAATGCCCTCCCCACTGTGCTATCTCTCCAGTCCCAAGGCGGGAAGCTTTTAAGCAACTGCAACAGCAAGTGCAAAAGCCCTGAGGCTGGTGAAGCTAGAAGCAAGTTTGGGTTTTTCCTTCTGGCATTTCGATATGTTTGCATTGATAGGCCAGAAACCTGAGCTTCTCAAGAACTTTCTGAATGGTTTGTACTCTGGTTTGGTTTCATTCTGGGTTTTGAGGCACCTTCTGTGGTACTCGGGCTGCTCCTGGATGAGGGCTCAGTGCTCAGCTGAGGAGACCAGGAGTTCCGAGTGTGGGCCTCCTACATGTAGAGCCTGAGTTCAGCCTATCACATGCTCTCCTGCCCCTTTAAGTGGTCTGGACAATAAGTTATGAATCACTGTGGAAGGATAACTTGTGCTTCTCTCTCTCCTGAGCAGACAGCTATGGCGTGGACAGGAAGCGGAAGCGGGGGATGCCTGACTTGATGGGAGAGTTGAATAGCTCTGGTACGCCCCCTGGGCCCGTCCACACCTGGGGAAGGACTGCTTTACACCCCTGGCCTGCCTCATTTCAGGTTGGGGAGGTGGGGCTGGCTGGACCCAGGGGCCCTCATCTCTGCCTTCCCTCAGATCCCCATGGCATCGAGAGCAAACGGCGGAGGAAGAAGCCAGCCTTTCTGGACCACTTCCTGCCCAGCCACAGTTCAGGTGGGTTCTCCTGTCTGTAAGTCCCTCCCACCACCCACCCCCAAAACTGCATCCCTGCTTCTTTGGAGGACCCCAGGAACTCTCCCAAGACAAGAGTTGCCGGGGCTGGAGTGATAGCACAGTGGGGAGGGTGTTTGCCTTGCATGCAGCCAACCTGGGTTCGATTCCCAGCATGTCATATGGTCCCCCAAGCACCACCAGGAATAATTCCTGAGTAACCCCCGTGCATCGCTGGGTACGACCCAAAAAGAAAAAAAAAAAAGAGTTGCTACTTAGCAATATGAAAAACTGTGCTTGGTGAGCCAGAGCGATAGTACAGCCGGGAGGGCATTTGCCTTGCACACCGCAGACCCAGCCTGGATCCCCAACATATTTGTGGGGAGATTTTTCAGAGGAACCCATTGATCTGATCACTCAGCCTGTAATTTAGAGGTCCTCTGAAAAATCTCCCCACTTGCCTGCCTCACTGCCTTTAAGATTTCTTGAACATGAGCCAGGGAGCACTCAATGGACTTCACATGCAGTAGGTCCAGTTTGATTCTACCTGTTACCTCAAGCGCCTCTGAGAGTCCTGCCAGGAGTTATCCCTGAGCAAAGAACCAGGAGTAACTACTGACCACAGCTGGGTGGCATTTCCCAAAAAAATTTAAAACAAAACTGTGCTTGGAGACACAGGGGTCAGGGACGACCAAACCCAGATGTGCTCAGGAGCGCCCTCTAGCCATACTTCAGGGACCAAATGTGTATGTATCAGGGATCAGTGGAGGGTCACTGTCACTGTCACTGTCCTCCCGTTGTTCATTGATTTGCTCGAGCGGGCCCAGTAACATTGTGAGACTTGTTACTGTGTTTGGCATATCGAATACGTCCCGGGTAGCTTGCCAGGCTTTGCCGTGCGGGCGAGGTACTCTCGGTAGCTTGTCGGGTTCTCTGAGAGGAGTGGAGGAATCCAACTTGGGTCAGCCATATTGGCCACTTGCAAGGCAAATGCCCAACCCGCTGCGCTATCGCTCCAGCCCAGTCGAGGATCATCAAATGCAATGCAAGTGCCGTATTTCCTGTACTATCCGCAGCCCCAGTCAGGAGACTCTGGTCCAGTCTGGGCTAGTAAATAGTGGCGTGACCTTGGCCAAGGTGCTGCACTTGAGTCTTAAGGGGGGCTCCTCTGAAAAATCTCAGGCTGGAGCCATAGCACAGCGGGTAGGGCGTTTGTCTTGCACGCGGTCAACCTGGGTTCGAGTCCCAGCATCCCATATGGTCTCCTGAGCACCGCCAGGAATAGTTCCTGAGTGTAGAGCCAGTGTAGAGCCAGGAGTAACCCATGTGCATTGCCAGGTGTGACCCAAAAAGCAAAAAAAGAAAAAAGAAAGAACAAGAGAAATCTCTCCACTTGCCTGCTTCATTGGCCTTTAAGATTTCTTCACAGGAGCCAGGGAGCACTCAAAGGCCTTCAAATGTAGTAGGTCCAGGTTTGATTTCTGATGCCACCTGTTACCCCAAGACCTCTGAGAGTGCCCCTGAAAAACTGTTTTTTTATTAAAAAATTTTTTTGAGGGGGTTAAGTTTGTTGGATCACACCCAGCAGTTTATAAGGCTTATTCCTAGTTCTGCACTCAGGAATTTTTCCTGGTGGGCTTAGGATGCTGAGGATTTACCCCAGGTTGGCTGTGTGCAAGGCAAGCACCCTACCTGTTGTATTGCCTCAACTATACTGTCTTGCCACCCCATTTCTTTTTAACTTTATTTTGTTTTTTTTTTTGGGGGGGCACACCATTGGTGTTCAGGGCCTATTCCTGACTCTGTGCTCAGGGATTGCTCCTGGTGGGGTTTGGAGATCGTATGTGATGTTGGACATTGAACCAGGGTCAGCTGTACAGAAAGCAAGAGCCTTAACTCATGTACTAACTCTGCAGTTTGCTTATTAAATGAGAATGATGAGGGACTGGAGAGAGAGTACCGTGGGGAGGGCACTTGCCTTGCGTATGTCTGAACCAGGTTTGATCCCGGTATCCCTAATAGTCCCCTCCAGGGGTGATTTCTGAGTGCAGAGCCCTGAGCATTGCTGGGGAGGGCCCAAAGGGAAAAAAAAATTTTAAAAAATGATGGACAATGATGGACATCTCCACCTCCACTGAAAACACCTCCTGGGGAGTCAAGTCCTCAAAGGTGCCACTGAAAACTCATTTAGCACAGGGCAGGACGTTCAGTTTATGAGCTGGCCAGAAGTCGGCAGGGAGGCCATCATGCTTCCTTCTCTCTTCCCTGCCAGGCCCGTTCCTCCCGCCTGCAGCCTTACTGCCAGACACGGACTTCTTCACTGGCACAGTCACCCTCCCTGGCCTGGAGCCCCCCGGTGGGCCAGATCTCCTGGAGGACAGCTTTACCTACGACCTCTCAGCCCCCACGCTCTTGAACATGCTGGACATACTACCCCCGGCTCCCCCACTAGCCAGCGCTGTTGTGGGCAATGGGGGTGCTGGGGCTGCCATTGGGGAGCCCCCTGGCCCTGAGCCACTAACGCTGGACTCATACCAGGTCCCCGGCCCTGGGGATGGAGGCACCGCTAGCCTTGTGGGCAGTAACATGTTCCCCAATCAATACCGCGAGACGGGCTTTGGAGGTGGCCTTTTGTCCCCAGGGCCCGAAGCCACGTAGCCCCTGCACCACCGGAGGAGAGATGCTGGGGGTCTGGGAGGGAGGCAGCAGGGCTAGGGGCACCCAGCCAGGATGCCCAGCACCCCCATCTCAGTTGATCAGCCCTCCTCCTTCAAGCAACCGGACATTGTTGACACCGCAGAGAAGCTGCATCGGCACGCCGATTTCCCCCTGGGCCCATTTTACAGATGAGAAAGCTGAGTCTGGAGAGGACAGAGCTTGCCTCTCATGCACTAGCTCCTTGAAACTGCCTCAGCCCCAAGAGGGGGCCCCCCCTTCTCCAGGGCACATCTGGAGCGTATAAAGGGGAGGAGGACGCAGATCCCCAGCCCTCCTTCCCTAGTCCTGAAGGTGTGTGGGGGGTGTTTGTTCAGAGTCTTCCCAATAAAGATGAGTTTTTGAGCCTCGTGGGGGGGGTTGTCGCTTCTGTCGCGGCGCAGGTGCGTTCAGTTACCACGCGCCGCTCGGCCCCGCCTCTTCTGCGTCTCCGGCCCCGGCCACAAAAGAGCGCCCTCCGCGACGCCCCGCCCATGCCGGCGAGGCCCCGCCCACCACGCCGACTCGGCCCCGCCCCTCGCGCCGGCGGAAGCGAGCACCGCCCTCCGCTTCCCCCTTCGCGCGGCCGCCCACTTCCGCTTCCGGTGCGGGCAGCGCGCTAGCGCAGCGGTGGGAGGCGGCGCGGAGCCGGTGAGTGCAGGCGGCGGCCCGGGACCTCCTGGCCGGCGGCGGGCGTCCGCGCGGCTCCGCACGGGCTTCGGCGTCCCCCCGAGCTGCGGTGAGCCCCCGCCTGGCGCCGGCCGCCGGTCCCGCACGCTCCGTCCCCGCCGCGGCCTGCCGGGCCTCGGGCCGCGCCGCTGCCCCCGCCGCGGGCCGAGCTGGTCGGGGCAGGCCGCGGCGCCCGCCGCCGCGCCGGGACCCGCCCCCTGTCAACAGAACTTCGCGGGACCCCAGGGCCCGACCCGGATCCCGGCCGCCGGCACTGCCCAGCCCAATCCGCGGCTCCTCCCAGGTCTGGGAGCTTCTCCCCCCTCAGCTCAGCCCCCCCCTTCGCCTCTGCTTTCCTCGGCCGCCCCCAATTTAGATCCTTTCTTTAGCGCTCGGCCCTGCCCTGGTCTTCCCCTCACAGTCTCCCCCCCTCCCAGGCGTGCCTGCGAGGCTCATTATCCATCCACGCCCTTCACGTGTCCCCAATTTTACGCACCCCACGCTCCAGACCACTCCGCGCAAAATAACTTTTTTTTTTTGCGGGGGGGGGGGGCGCGTCCAGCCGTTTTGGGGGCTTTGTCCTGGTTTTACACCCAAGGGATCACTTCTGGCAGCGTTCCAGGAGGGGCACCATATGGGATGCGGAGGATCTAACCGGGGCTGGCTGCGTGCGAGGCAGGCGCCCTACCCCGTGTTGTACCATCGCTCTGGTTCCTCCGCAAAATGCCTTATTCCTCTCCCCGTCTGCATCTCCCTGGCTGTGCAGCCTATCCCCGCCCGCGTGGTTGGACCTCCTTGGAGCCAGTTCTGTATTTCTCCTTCCCGGGAATTAGCCCCAGATGCTGGAGTGCAGCCTCCACACCTTGTTCTAAATGCTCCCTGGGCAGGAGAAACAGTATAAGCACTAAGGTGCATCTCACCCCGTTTAGATCCTGACCCAACATATGGTCCCCTGAGCATAGTCAGGAGGAATTCCTGAGCACTGCTGGGTGTGGCCCCAAACTTTCCCTTTTTCCCAAAAAAATAATTGGGACCAGAGCAATAATAGAACAGCCAGTAGGATGCTTGCTTTGCATGCAGCTGACCGGGGTTCAATCCTCAGCACCCTTATGTTTTCCCTGAGCCAATCAGGAGTGATTCCTGAGTGCAGAGTCAGGAGTAAGCTCTGACTATCACTGCGTGTGGCCTGAAAACCCAAGACTAAAAAAAAATACCATAGGGAAAAGAAAAAAAAACAAAATTTCTTCCATTCTGCCTCCCTACCTGATTCCCGCACCTGGAACCCAGCACAGCATTTTTCCAGGCTTACACTCCCCCTTACCCCCCCCCCCCCCCCCCCACACACACACACACTTCACTTTCAAAACGCAGGGGAAGGGATCAGGTTCTGGGAGGGGGGAGGCTCTCTGGGCCCCCCCGCCTCCCGCCTCCCCGGGCCCTTCTTGCCTTCTGCTTGTCTGACCTTCCTCCTCTTACAGGCGGAGGCCCTGGGCTCGGCCTCTCCACCATGTGGCACGAGGCTCGCAAGCATGAGCGGAAGCTTCGAGGCATGATGGTGGACTACAAGAAGCGGGCGGAGCGGCGGCGGGAGTACTATGAGAAGATTGTGAGTCCTGCCCTCCAGTCTCGGGGGGCTGCTGGGGCCCCCTGTTAAAGTTGGGGCTTGGAAACATGTAGAGGCTAGATCTAGTTTTCCCAGGCAAAATCCTTTTTCAAGCTCGCTCTTTTCTTTTGTCCTGGTTGTTGTGTTTTTTTTTTTTTTTGGTGTTTCGGCTACACCTGGCTCTTCTTTCAGAGATCGCCCCGGCTGGACTCAGGGGACCATAATGGGGTGTTATAGGGTGTTAGGGATAGAACTCTAGAGTGGGCTACATGCAAGGCAAGCGCCCTGCCTGCTGTCCTATCCTTCTGGCGCTTGCCTTCCATCTCTTGAGTTGAATCTCTGGGGACGCCTTGCTTTGTTTTCGGGGGGGTTTCTGTTGTGGCTTGTCATGAGGAATAGGCCGACTCTGAGGCCAGGGCCGGCAGGCGGGAAGGAGGAGGGTCTCGTGTGGCTGCTGGCCGGCTCATTGTGTGGGACCCACCTTGCTCCCATTGGTGACTCTGACGTCTGCACAGTCGGGACCACAGACAGATTCTTGGCACCTTTTCGAGAGCATTTATTAGAAGCAAACACACAAGCTGGACGACAGAAAGACCCCAGTGTTGGGGGGTGGAGATGGGGTTATCCGGACGGGATTCAGGAAGGACGATTGCCCCCCCCCCCCTTGTTCCTGCCTTTCTGAAGCCTGAGGTGGGTGAGCACGTGCTCCTACGTGGCTGTTCTGTGTGGGGTGCTCGTGCTTGGGGCGTTCAGTTGGGTCCTTTCTCTGGCTGCTTCTGGACCCGAGACACCCAGGGAGGCTGGGCAGGTGGACCCCCACCTGGGCTGGACCTTGTGTTGCTGGGCCCCGCCTCCTGACACCCTGCTTTCAGGCCCCTTTCTCTCTGGCAAACCCTGTCCTGTTCCTTTGTCACTGCGATGCTGCCTCCCCCTGTCTCCTGGCATGTGACACCAATCTTAGCCCCTGCAGCCACCACCCTGCTCCAGCTGCTGCTCCTGTATTCTGCCCCTCTCCGACCAGACCTTCTCTCCTGGTGGCAGGGAGAAGGGTCTTTCTCCAGCACAAAATCCACCCTGCCTTTCTCATGCTCAGATCTGGGGAGTGGGGCGTGGACTCCCAAGCACCACAGCACCACCCTCAGGGCCCTGCAGTCTGGCACCAGCCCTCCCTCCCCCCCCCCCCTTTCTCTCCCCCAACCCTCAAACTGCCCCCCCCACGATAAAAATCTGGTCTTCTTGCTTCCAACAGAGGGGGATTCTTATAACTCAGGAGGTATGAAAAGACTGTCTCCCCAGAATTTGCATTTATTGTGTTCCTGGGCATAAATCCTGGAACCTGGCTCTGTGCCCTGAGCCCTAGCCCCTGGCCTGGGCACAAGTCCTTCGCATCCCTCTCATCTCGGGCTTGTGGCTCCAGCTGCCGATGTCGCCCTGTGCGGCCTTCCCTAAACCTCATGACTGTCCAGCATCACCCCAGATGCTGGCTGACTGAGCTTCCCATCCTTCCCTTCCATGGAATCCCGTGCCCATCCTGTCCAGACTGGGGCCAGCGTGGATTTGGGTCATGTCTGAATCCCAGGGTCAGGCCAGCGAGGGAGGTTTGACAGGTGAGAGACAGAGAAGGGGAGTGGGGCAGTTACTCTTTGATTCTTGGTATTTGTTTGGATTTGAGACCAAAGGAGCCCAAGCCAGCCAAAGCTGTGTCCTGGACTTCCTGCGTGCAGAACCTTTGATACCACCTCCCACCCCGCCTGCTGTTGCAGTGGCCGCTTATGCACCCAAGAGGGGCTAGAGTGATGGAACAGCAGGTCACGCCTTTGTCTTACATGTGGCTGACCTAGGTTCAATTCTCAGCATCGCAGATGGCCCCCAGAACACCTCCAGGAGTGATTCCTGAGTGCAGAGCCAGGAGTAAGCCTTGAGCAGTGCCAAGTGTGGCCCAAAAATCAAACAAAAAGTAGACTCCTGGAAAAGTGAGAAGTGCTCACTCCTGCAGGATGGCAGCTCCCCTCCCTCAGAGGGCATCATCTTGTCCCGAGACTGGACCAGACTGGCTGGGCTTTCAGAGAGACAGCCCCCAGGGTGCGGCTTCCTGCAGGGAGATGGTGCCAGTGCTTGGGTAGGAACGGTGGCTCTTGTAGTGGCTTCCAGGTGCCAGTCCAGCCCCGGACCTCTCCTTTCTTTCCCTCCTTTGGTACCCTCTCTGTCCTTTTTTTTTTTTTTTTTTTGGCGTTTTGGGTCATACCTGACGATGCACAAGGGTTACTCCTGGCTCTGCCTCAGGAATTACTCCTGACAGTGCTCGGGGGACCATATGGGATGCTGAGAGTGGAACCTGGGTCAGCCACTTGCAAGGCAAACACCCTGCCCACTGTACTATCGCTTCAGCCCCCAGCACCCCCTCTGTCTTGGGGGTGGGGGCCGCACTGGTCACTGCCCAGGGGTTGTTCCTGATGCTGCTCAGGCACCTGGTATGCCGCAGGCCTCACTGGCCTTGCGCTACTTTCCGCCTGCCTCCTGGTAAGTTTTTTTTCTCGTGTTCAGTAGCACCCTGCCTTCAAGGTTCATTCCTTCTGTTCGGGGGCAGCGTCCCAGTGGTGGTTGATGTTGGTCATAGAAGTGTCCCCTGTTGCTGCAGCCTCCCACCAGGCCTCTCTGACTTCTCTCTTCGACTTCATACTGCAGAAACCGGTGCTGAGAGGTGAAGGCCACGTGGACAGCAGGCAGATAGCAGACAGGCAGGGCCTTGGGCTCTGGCCTGAGCCCTCTGGGTTCAGATTCCAGCTGCTTCTGGTCTGAAGTGTGGGCTGCAGCGTGGGCGGGCCTGTGGGCAGGCCCATTGTGTAAGAAGCAGCTTGACAGACAGGTGGTGGCCAGATAGGCTGCAGCAACAACTTTGGCACCTTTGCTTTTTAACCTCCGGTGGCAGGGCCTTAGCATGGTGGGGAGGTGCGGCCGACCCAGGTTCGATCCCCGACTTCCCATATTGTCCCCCTGAGCCACGTTAGGAATTCTTGATTGCAGAGCCAAGAATAAACCCTAAGCACTTCCAGGTGTGGTCCCAAAGGCCCCCCTGGCCCCCCGCAAAGAGCT